AAGACCTGATGAAGACCTTGTTTGGCAAAGATATGGGACATACCAGTGCGATTTTATCATCCGAAAATTGTGTGAATTGAAAAGCTAACCCGAATTGCAGTTTGCTGGAACTATATGCGTCTCGGTGAGGCGTGCTAGGCGTGGCCTAGTAGGTTTGCGATATGTTAGGGGTCATTGCATTTTGATTTTGATCTCGTGTAATATTGGAATTGCCTTTTTCTTTTCCTTTTGGACAGTAACTCGACCCTCGACTATTATGGGTTGGCGTTTGGTATAAGTTGAGATCCTTAATATGAGTCGATCTGTGACACTCAATTGGAATTCTTTATTTTTTCTTTCTCCTGGCAATGCTTATCTCATTTGGTTCGAATTGAGAATGAAAAAAAAAAAAAAAAAAAAAAAAAATAGGAAATAGGAAATAGGAAATAGGAAAAGGTAATAATCATCTCACTGGAGTCATAATAAACTGGGCTTCACTCCAGGGCTCTTCGACACATAACCAGTTACCTACCACTTGTGGCTCACGAATTTTGTTTCATAAAAAAAAGGTTGAATATACTCTGTACGTTGTTTGAGAATATTTGAGAGTATTTTAGAATATTTGCAGCAAATCAAATTTTGGTGAACTTTCAGACCAAAGTATCAATAAATAACTACATATTTAGTCAAATAGTATACATGTCACATCTCTATATCTCCCGAGGTCTCTAGGATTAAATTTATATGAATGTACTCCGAATATACATTTATTAATCTTCTGTATGACCTTAGTCCAATTCCTACCTAGTTAATGTCAATCCATCTGCTTAGAAATCCGGGTTCCACTCGATTCTGCCCCATTCCTTGGCTTCATATAAAAAACACCCCTCTATTTTACTATGTAGATTGTTCACTGGTTGTATATCTCACCTCATCTGTATCCACAATGGCACCATTCGGCACTATCTACTCCTATCAGCCCAGTCCTCGGGTCATGAAGGTAAACAAACCATGTTCAATACCCCAGAATCCTGAGCCCTGAGCTAACCCTCCTGCTAGGCCCAGGCTGCGGCCAACCTGAATGGCCTGGAGATAGTGGTTCCGGAATTCGCCATGGGAAAGACCAATCGCACCCCAGACTTCCTGTCCAAGTTCCCTTTGGGTAAGGTGCCCGCCTTTGAGGCTGCCAATGGAACAACCCTGTTTGAGTCGGATGCCATCACCCAATACATTGCCGAGAGCGGCCCGGCTGCCGAGCAGCTCATTGGAGCTACCCCCGCCGAGCGCGCCACCATCCGGCAGTGGATCTGCTATGCACAGGGTGAGATTCTGGACCCTGTCACCCAGTTGGCGCTGTGGCGTATCGGTATCCGGCCCTACGATGAGAAAATCGAGGTGGCCAACCTCGCGCGTCTGGAACGCTCGCTGGAATGCCTAGAGACTCACCTCAAGGACCGCACCTGGTTCGTAAGCAACGAAAAGCTCAGCTTAGCTGATATCACTGTTGCCTCTGCCCTGGTCTGGGGTTTCTCCATGGCCATCGACGCTGAGATGCGTCAGAAGTTCCCCTCTGTGGTCACCTGGTATGAGCGGATCCTCGAGGCCGAGGGCGTCAAGCAGGCCTTTGGTGAGAAGAAATTCATTGAGAAGCGTCAGGGTCCCCAGGCTTGAAGCTCAACGTGTTTTTTCTCAAAAAAAAAAAAAAAGAAGAATATGAATTAGCAAAGAGTTAAATCATATTCCGCTTCCTCAAGCACCCGAATCATATAAAACTAAAAGACCGCAGAATAGTGCTAGGGGCATTTTAACATATAAACAACTAGCTTTCAAGTAGTCCAACTAAAACAGTATATACTGACAAAATTTCAAGAAGTCTCCAACGGGCCATTCCATCAAAGACGAGCCATCCTACCCTCACCTCGGACCGTTCCCATCGTCCGCGCGAGGTTTCGGCTGGCCCAATCAGCGATCGCCATGTTGGTGACCATTGGGTTCACACCGCTAGCGCTAGGGAAGACAGATGCATCCACAACATATAAACCGTCAGTGCCCCAGACTTGACAATCCGGGTCCACCACACCTAATTTAGGCGACTTGCTCATGCGGCAGGTGCCCATCTGGTGTGCACTGGCAAATAAACTACGCTCCGGGTTCAAAGGTGACTTCCGACGAAGTTCGGCAATCCAACTCTGCAGGGCCGCGTCGTTGATACCTTCAGGGCCCTCGGGGTCTGAAGCCTCTGGTCGGATGAACGGGGGAATATCGCGGTAAACGGTATGGAATTCTCTTGCGCCTGTGATATACGCAATCTTGGCACTGGCAATGAGGGCCTCCACGATGTGTTTTCGGTCAAAGGCAGAGACCGCGTAAGAAATCCGGCAGCGTCCATCAACGGGATCCGGGTACACACGACCAGAATCGCGGTCTTTGGTTAAAGTGATGAAGCTCGTGCTGCGACGCATCTTGGCCGCCCATAGCTTGTACTCCAATGAGTCTCGCCAGGGGAACAGGGGAATGAACAGGGGAGGCATCATTGAGAGAGACTCAATCTTCACACCATGTCCATCTCCATCAAGGTCCTCAAACTCGTTAACAACCGTTGTCAATGCAGAGCCTTCCCAGGGGTGGGTCTCCTCGTCGAAGACAGCACTAGCTCCCATAACTGTATAAAAAAGAGTAAGTGCCTGTGAGATGCGCTGTGGGGGGTAGTCAAAAGTGCTTACCTGGGTGAAGATAAAGGTTTCGGCCAATCTGGGGGTTCTTTAAACCACTACGCAGCAGCAGAAGAGGACTCTGCAATGCGCCAGCTGATACAATCACTTTCTTGGCCTTGATAATCACCTTACGCTCCACAGCCGCAATACCACCGAGGCCCAAGTATGAATCCCGCGACTTCCATGTTCCTTGCACGCCAGAAGCAACCTTTCTGCCGTTGATCTGGGTGAATAGCACTTTTTCGACACAGAATCCTTCCATGAATGTCGCGCCAGCCTGAGCAGCGTCCACAAGGAACGACTCCATTGGACCTTTCTTTCCACCTGAGGCGCATCCCAACGTGCAATACCCACAGTAGTGCTCGCCGTCGCCTGTATTTTGGGGCACTGTTTTTGCTGCATAGCCGAGTTTCCTTGCGCCTTCAAGAATCACCCTATTCTGGCGATTATGCTCAACGTGCTCCTCGTTAACACCCATACGATCACAGACGCGGTCCAAACTTTTCTGGAAGTCGAGGGAGGTGAAGAAAGGTAGACCAGTATCCGCCCATTGCTGTCGGACATATGCCTGGGTCTGTAGAGACGCTGACCAGTTAACGGTACCACCACCGCCCCACGTTGAGCCCGCTAGGATTGCCATCGAGCCATCATCGCTAGAGATAGCACCCCCGTTCTCAAACAGAGTGAGGAACCCCTCATTCGGGCCCATGGGGAACGTGTTGGATGGATAGGAATAGGACTTTTCCACAACCAGCACTCGATGGCCCGCTTCAGCTAGGTTCTTTGCAGTCACACTGCCGCCGCAGCCACTCCCCACGATAACGACGTCGGTTTCAATAGTTTCTGGCTGGTCGCCAGGAGGGAATTGCAAAAACTCATACTGGAAACCGTCGGCAGGCTTGCCATGAACAGGAATGCGTGGGAACCCCAGAACCGGGCCTATGGTTGGACTGCTGATAACCCAACATTTCTTAACGATGGCCGTGAGTCCTCGGTAAATGGCGCGGAGAGGGGGCAATCGAGAAGTCTCCCATCCATGTAAAACCTTTTCTCGGAACTCCACCGGTTGGTCCTGGATAGGAGTGGTCGAGCCGGTCATAATCAGCGAGCCTGTACGGGTGTTGAGCGCTGTCATTATGAACCCAAACCCATTCCTTCCCTGGTCATGCACCTGGTCACCCATAAGTCGCTCCACTATGGCCCGGAATTGCGGGTTCGAAGAGACATTTTCTTGCAGATACTGGGTGGCAATGTTTACGGCATTGGGTCCAGAAATGATCGTTGACAAGCTCGAGACGGCAGAATTCCACTCTGCATCTGAAACAACTCGGTCATCTGATGATTTGGTAGTTGCCGCAGTGTGGATGGAGGGTACGATTGCGTCGGCCAACGCATATAAGGTCTTCCACTGTAACTCCGAGAAGTAATTGGCTGAAGGCGCTGGCGGAAGAGGGACATCCCTCGGGGTATATGTGGACACCGCGTGGATTGACATATTTGCAAGAACCAGAGCAAATTAAGCTCTTGTAGATCACACTCCAATGGTATAGGTGGAATGGGAATAAGAGATGAGAGTAAGAAACGAGATTGTGGGGCAAAGAGAGAAGTCCACCTGGGCACGGGTGACGGATTATAATATACTAGCTCAACAACCTTGGAAGGTTCCACTGTAACAAGAGGTCAAATAGTCAGAATTTAAAGTGGTTCATCCTTCGCATGGACGATCATGGAGAGAGTATAAACTTCTCTATCATGCGACTGTCGTGCGCGGCCCCTTTCAATCCTAAGCCAAACACAACCCATAATCCGGGGAGTGAAGCCTCGGTTGAGTGGAGAAAGTAGTTGAGCATGGCTATTTGATTCTTGCGACGGTGGAGTCTTTGAGTCTCCTGTCAACCAGTTAAGACCGTGCAAATCTTCATTGCCCAACAATTTCAAGGTCTAGGTTCCCACCTAAATGCCCTAGAGAGGTAGATCCCCCTCTTTCTCCGAATAAGGGCGCTCCCGGGCTCATTTGCGGGGGAATTTGCCGAGTTCCAGCGCCATGTGAGAGAATCGGTTTTGCGGGAGACTCGAGTTAACCTTGGTTATAAGAAACTTCAGATCAAATCGATTTTGATTTTGATTTCAATTTCGATTTCGATTTCATGGCATGGCATGGCATGATAGTTGCTGTGTGTATTGTGTAGTAAGTAGTAAGTAGGTAGGAGGTACTAAGGTACTAAGGGAGTTGGGTAGTTGTGTTGTTGTGAATAGGCAAAATGGTAATTTCTCCGCTTCCGACACCTCGACCTGTCTCATCACACAATGGATCTGCGCACTGTCAGTCACTCGAGTAAATGTAATCTACCTTCGGAGAAAGTCTTCTCTATCCAAATTGGTTCTGAGATCTTTCGTCTCTCAGGTGCTTCAATTGCTTCTGACGGTAAACGCGCATGTTCTTCCCCCCGTTCAAACTTCAACTGATCCCTTCCAACAGCTCCATCCTACTTTTCACGGTTCTTCGAGGATCAGTTGCTTCAGAGTCAAGATGCTGCCAACGTCAGGACCCTCTATATCGATCGCGACCCCGCGACGTTCCGCGAGATCGCTAGGCATCTACAGGGTATGAGAGTCAATGGATAAACACAACGTGAAGGAGGCTGAGGCTGATGGGTGCATCCAGGCTACTATGTCCGGCCCCAGGATGGCGCACAATTCGTGAAGTTATTCGCAGATGCACAATTTTATACATGTGAGCATCCCTTTTCCAGGCACCCTGGAAGTAATTGCTGACCTAACAGTGCCTCGACTGATGTCCCAGCTGTTTGAGTCCGAATGCTTTATTCAAATCGGCGACCGACACTTCCAGATCCCTCGCGATATCTTTTCAGGTCCCGGTGATAGCCCGAACTTTTTTACCCTCGGGTTCGCCGCCTTCTTTGCTAGCCCGACTGCAGTGTTCCCTGGCCTGGACCGTCAGGGTCTTTTGCGACCTCCGGCCATCGTCCCCCCAAGCGTTCCAAACCGATCTGCGGATGTCTTTGATGAGCTCCTGCATATGTTGCGCGGGTATCCGCTACACATTAGAAATGAGGATCATCGGGCTGCGCTCCTACGCGACTGTCGTTATTTTCACCTGCGCGGCTTGGAACAAAAGTTGATACCGCATCAGATAACAACGAATCCCTTCACCCATCGGTTGGAAATCGTCATCCGGCTCGAAGATGTGCGACCGTCTGGGATTCAGTTTGCCTTTGATAAAGCTTCTGGATCACCTTCACTGGGTGGAATGGTCACATACACGCGCCCCTTTGTAGACGAGAACGCCGCCGATCTGGTGGTTGAGATCGGCGACGAAACTAGTCTGATCCACCGGGGAGCATGCGCGCTGACTTCCTAGGCCTTTCAAAACAAAGAATTACCAGTCTATTACAGACGGTAGGCAAAAAAATGAACCTGCCTGATTCACATCCACCATTGGGCCAACTTCCAATCAAAGTCCGTGTCGACCTTGAAACCGATCTCACGGTGGATGGAGAACAAGACCCTAAACATTTGACGATATCAAGAGCCCAGGCCGAATCTGGTGCTGGTGGTGTGCCTCCTGCTAAACGCCCACGAGTCGATAATAGGGACGATGGGCCCTGGGTTGTTCGGACAGGGCAATGGCGATTGCAAGTGCAGAGAGGATCTACCGGGGTATACGAGGCTATCTTGGTTGCTGTCAAATTGGACATCTATACCAGTTCGCGGGTCCGAAACAAGTCACGGAAATTCCTTTAGTCGCCTATATGTCTATTCAAGTCTTAAATTGCATAATACGCCACAAGACTTGGATGTATGATATCAAACAGAGGCCCTCGGGGACTATTGGAGGCCGTGCATACTTGCATTAATATAATTTTGTCTAATCGGAGAATCCTCCCCATTCTTCATCGTCTTCCCCTTTTTCATCTTCGTCACTCTCATCTCTCTCGCCGTGCTTGCCATGTTCGCCATGCTTATCATGCTCATTATGTCCACGTTCCTTCGCCGGGACGACCGGGACGGCATAAGCAGGGTCGCGGATGAATCCAGCGACGAAAAATCCTCCAAGCCCTTCTGCATCACCTTGCCAGGATCGGATGCACGCCTCTAGAGCCTCGTCAGAGAGATCTACCGTGCCCGATGGCCCTGTCTCTCCCTCGGCTGGCCGCTCCTCTCGCACGCCTCGTTTGGACCATCGACGCAAGCCCTCGGGCTGCTCATCGCGGCGCAGGAGGCGCCAGCCGCGCTCTTTGGCAACCTGGGAATTCAGAATGCGAGCCACGACGCCTTCATTCTCAATCAGGTGAATAGAACAAGTACTATATGTCACATGAGTAGCATTCGAGAAACGCAGAGCGTGTTCCACGATCCGCGCTTGGATGCTTGATAGTTTGGTCAGTCGCTCCGGGTCAATCGCCCCATCCGCGATATCATTTTCATCTGTAGGCGCTGCCTGCGGGGTTCCCATGGTGGCTTTCGACTGCTCACCATCTGCTTCATCCTCATTGTCTGGACGCTTCCTTTTCTTTCCATGTGACTTGGGCGCCTTGTATGCCGCCGCGACAGGAAGGGTAAACTGAGGGACATCGTCACGGCCGATGATACCGCTACCAGAACAACTGGGATCCAACAATAACCCAGTAACCTTCTCAAACTGTTCATCTTCTGGGTCAAGGGCGAGGAAGTCCTGGCCTTGTAGCACAGTGACCGAGTCAGCCCCAGCCAGACCAACCATTTTCTGCAGCGTTCTGGAACGCATGGTAGATGCATCCATAGAAAAGATTCTCTGATTGCTGTTGTTGTTGCCCTTTTGTTGTTTGGCCAGAAGTGAAGCCAAGTGCGTAGTCTTGTTCCCTGGCGCAGCACAACCATCAACCAAGTCACCCTCCCATGGGTCACTGGGCCCACGGTCACCCAGCAGGAGATATGCTGGGAAGCAGGACGCCTTGTCCTGGAGAATGATTTCTCCGTTCTTGTATGCAGATGAGGCAGTGAAGTCTGCGCCGAAAGGCACCGCCACCAGATCTGGAATGTTAGGATCGATGAACAATCGAGGCTCTGGCTTTCGGCTTTCCAGTTCGTCTTCTGGGGCCAATTCTGCAAGGGTGTCTACCCGACGGTAAGACTTGAACGTAGTGCTCAGCTGGTCTTCGAGGGTAGTGCGAATATTATTTATCCGCACCCAGCGCGGGTAGACGAAATGGCTAGTTCCATCGGCCAGTCGTTTCTCACGCATAACAACAGCCTTGAATTGCTCGACGGAGGCGCACCCACGACGGACACGGGCCTTGGTAAACTCGGCCTTTAGCCTGGCCTTGTGACGCTCTACGGTCTGGCGGAGTGTGTGGGTAGCCGGCGCGGCAATGCCCTTCTTCGCGAGTAGATGATCATGGACGAGGAGGAGAGCGAGGAGGGGAGAAAGCTAAATGAAAATCACTTAGTCAGTCAGTAGGTATCTCCAGTGGTTTCTCTGGGGTCATCTCACCTTGCGCTCCAGGGCGAGAATGCCTGATTTGTCGATGACATCTGCTAGCACGGTGTCCCATTTAGCAGCCTCGGTGGTCAAGGCATAGATCTGCGCTGGAGATGCGCGCAGGTTCCGAGCGCTGTAAACCCGGGACTTGAACGAACCCCCTGATGAGGGTGCGGTCAAGATAGCGACCGCATCAAAGTAGAGGGACATTGGGGGTATGGAATGTTGGTCGGAGAAATTGAGGATTTTCGCGATCGAATTGATATTTTGACGTTGTTTGTTCTGTTTGCATTGAGTTGTATAGGTTGAACCATTATAGTATATATAACGCGGTTATTTGGCGTATTATATTGATTACTATATGTGATAGTTTCATTACGATAGGATTATAGATTATTCGTCTGTAATTATATCTAAATCAATAAGGGCTAGGGTCCAATGTTTTGAGGCTGATTTCAACGAGATCTATATTATCCGTACATTATAACTATAATATATAGATCCGCCTTCGGTTATGACCTTCCATCCACTCCACATCGTCACCACCATTTCCATCGAAATCCCTTAGTGTTCAATATCACACTCTCAACCAGAATGACATCCAAACCAACGTTCAGCACTTCAATACAGCCGCCTCCAGGGCCTAGCGCGAAGCTAGTACTTCCATCAGACACCAGTACCAACACCAACCCCACTATTTTCAACGATGCAATGATAATCCGAAAGTCCGTCTTCATCGACGAGCAGCACTGCACCGCAGACTCTGAGATAGACAGCGACGATGCTCGCAGCTGGCACTGGGTACTTTACGATAACTCCACCGCGAGCTCTACGCCCGTGGGGGTGATCCGCCTGGTACCCCCGCCACAGGTGCCACACGCCCATGTCACGGAACCGTCATCGGCAGTCGCACAGGGAGCGCCCGAGTACGACTGGACACATGAACCCTGTATCAAGCTGACTCGGGTGGCGATTATGCCGTCGTTCCGCGGTTTCGGACTTGGGCGACGATTAGTGGAGACCGCCTTGGGGTGGGCGGCTGTGCATGCGGCGGAAATAGACGAGGCGGCGGCGCAGATCGCTGCGAGGGGGGAGTCACCTGTTACTCCGATTCCGTGGCGGGGGTTGGTCCTCGTGCATGCTCAGGTGGATGTGGAGAGGATGTATGCTGGACTTGGATTTGAAACCGATCAATCGATGGGTCGGTGGGACGAAGAAGGGATTGAGCATGTGGGTATGTTCCGACGGGTGGTTCTGGATAAATAAGGATCTACAGAGAGAGAAAATAGAATAGGGGGCAAGCATATATAGTCTACGAGTAGAGAGAAAAAGCTCAAGGTTCAATATCAATGGATTCAACTAGATCGAACTAAATCGAACTAGATATCAACTTGAGAGAATTGCAGATTTGCCACATTCCCTCATGGATCAGGGACCAGTAAAGAAGAAACATCAAATGAGATCGTCGCGCAATAAAAACCGACGGGGTATCCTGATCAACGCAAAGAACAAAAAGAAAAGCAGGAACAGGAACAGGAACAGAAATCAATCGGGCCGCTTAAGGACCGATGAGTATCCTGATATCAACGCGAAGTTAAAAAAGAAAAAACAAAAAACGCAAATAAACCGGGTCGCGAAGGACCGATGAAAACCCTCTAGACATGCAAAGTCATAAACATGACTGCAGAAAACAAAGAAACAAAGCCCAGGGCCCAGGGCTCAGAAACGCCAAAGCCATGGTCGCCAATAGAGAGAAAAAAACTGATCATGCGTGAGCATGACTTAAGTGAGAATATTAAAATAGATCAAGTGAAACGCCGAGCTGCAGCAGTCCTGCTGGCCACAGTAACCAAAGGAAACATGGCAATGCGTTTAGAAGGTACTCCAGTTCCAGTCACGAGGAACGGAGGCAGCGACCTCGCCGGTCTGGCCCACAGTGGACTCAGAATCCTCTGCATTCATGCCCTCGGGAACAGACATGCCAATCTGCTGAGCATCCATGGTGTTCTGGATCTTACTCAGACGGTCGGAGCGGTTCTCTTCCCAGCGTTGGTGGGCGCTCCAGCATAGGTCGCAGGCACGGGAGGGGACACCATCAGGGTGGAAGCGAGCATCCTGATCAAGGGGAACGAGGTGAGGTGTGTGGGAGGCGCAGAAGACATGACCGCAGTGACGACAGTGGTGGCGACGCAGAAAGATGCCAAATGAGGAGCGGCAGGTTGGCGAATCACAGTTGGAAGAGGCAGAGTCAGCCTGGATAAAGTTAGCAATTCTTATCCTTGAAAGTGCCCAATGTGATCAGAGGATATGTGGCTGGGATGCGACAGGGCTGAGGCGGTGGACTGCAGCACGCCATTCCCGAGGAATGACGAGCTCACACGACATTTGCTTTGACAACTGCGCAATCCAAACCAAGCCCAATTCCTATAAAGGCGCCAAAGGAAGGAAAAAGAAGGAACCCTTTTTTTTCGGTTTCTCGAGATACTCACTTTCCAGTGTGTGCGGGTCGGAAGGCCGGTTACCACACCCAGGTGTTCGTTCTTCAACCACTCATGCTGGGCACTCTGGCTAATTTCGCTGGACTGGCTCTCCATGGTGGAGCGGCGGCTGATAGGTTCCGACGATTCCTCGTTCAAGCTGTCAAGAGAGCCATGCACACTGCGTGGTGGGGTAATAGGAGACGATTTCTGGGGTCGTTCAGTGGGTCGGAGAGCTGCAGGGACATAGAGGGGACCCTTGAGAGGACGCAGCTGGCGCGACTGCAGAGGCAGTTGGTGCAGTGAAGCGGTCGTCATGCGAGGGGAGGTGGGGGAATTATTGGAGGGAGTGTTGGTCGCGGAGTTGGTTGGGGAGGGCTGACCATAAACCGAAATCTGGTTGGTAGCCGTGTTGGTGGTCATAACATGAGTGGCCATGATGATAGAGAATATTAAGTTGAGAGGTTGGGGGAAGAATGGTGGAATGTTAGGAGATTAGGATGTTATGACGGATTGGAAAAAAATGGTGGCGGAATGTAGAGTTTAAAGTAATCTGAAGCTCAGCGGCAAAAAAGTATCCAGATACCGAGGGGCAAAAAGGAGGGTAATTGAAGTACACAGCCGTTCAGCCGGGGAAAGAGGCAAGAAATAAAAGGTCGACTGTAAGTGGCCACAATCCAGTGGAGACAGGAACGTTGGAGCTAAGATTTGTGTACGGAGTACTTTCGTACGCAGTGGATTTGAAGTGGATATTTTTGGAGATGAGAACGGGTGAACAGTGTTGAGAAGGGGAAAAGGAAGCCTAGGAAGAACGGGACATTTAATATATTTAATATAGTACCTACCTACATATGTAGGTATAGTACTCTCCCGAGGTCTAGGGCTACTAACAACATTGAATAATCAAGTACTACTCTATGAGTACATTGCTGTGATACTGTTACCTTCTTGGGGTATCGTATTTTATATGTTGTATCTTGTATGTAATATTGGAGTAATTAGAGTACAAACAGTACGAACTTGGCTGCCTTCTACTTTTGGGTACTTGGTGGCGGGTACTACATATGCGCAGGGGCCAAGTAGCCCGTGTGTCTTTTCCCGTACTCCGTACATCGAGTACATCGTTCTTGTACTCCGTACGTACTTTTTTTCGGTTTCAAGGGTGTTTGGTTCGCATATTCAAATCTACTTCCCCGATATGAAATCATAATCTGGACTAAGAGATCTGAAATACCTCGACTTTCTTTTGACCGCTATTTTGTGATGACCCAGGATTGAGACCGGTTTCCATGCCCCAGTGACGGCTTTCCTTTTGCGGTCCCTCTCCACTTAAATCCGCAATGGGTCAACCTGTGGAAGGATATTCCGATCTACTTTGTACCCATAATTATATTGTGTTCAAGATTCTACGATTCTCATGGATATTCTGTATACTCTGTATACTCCGTACTCTGTAGACATTATGGAATAATGCATGTAAATAATCAAGTAATAACAATGTGACATGCCGGCAATATGCAGTTCATTTATCTAAGACACACTGGAAAAACGAAAGGGAAAACAAGGGAAGAAAGGGAAAATGTCGCTCCTTCCTCGGGGATCCTTAGGTTCACTAGCGTGTAGTTAATGACCAATTAGATAGCTCGTGGCGTCTCTTCTTATCATCGAGTGCTGATTGGTCCATTTTGATCTCCGTCATTCTATTGGCTTTCCAAGATTACCCTCCATTGGCGACCGGAGCCCCGCGGAAGTCAGAGACCCGATTGTATCCAATCAAATCGTAGGGAATAGAAATAAAATCAAAAATGGAAGATTATCTGCATCCATAGATGGTCAGCATGTCTGAAAAAAGTAATCGTCCAGAAGACCTCGGGAAGTTGTGGGCATCTTGGTTTTGATCTTACCGAGGTCAATGCCCAGGTGGTCCATTAGATCTTCATGGTCCACTTGAATCTGAAGAATATACCTAAGAAAATAAGGTAAAATTAGAACCTTGGAAGAGAACTGGAAGTTACCATTAGAACTACATTACTATTTTGCCTACTCTCCATTGATGCATACGCATACTACCTAAGAACAAATCACTACTTCATTAAGTAGGAGGTAGTATATTCCAATGTGGTATAGGTCAAATCCCGGTTTTAAGATTTCGGGGTTGAAAAGACCTATATAGGCCATGTACATAAGGTCTATACTGGAATGCGGGAGGTTGCAGTAGGAAACCTGGGGAAGTATCTAAGTACCTAGGTAGGTAGGTACTAACTAAAATGGCCGTTTGCAGGCGTCATACGAAAACACCCATGTCGTCATGACTTTTCAATTATAGTTCAATATCCAAATCCCCAAATCACAACACATACTATTGCGCAATCATGAAGTTGGCGGTATTTAGCGCAAAATCCTACGACCGCACCTATCTAGACCAGGTACGTGAGCAGCACTTTCCCGAGCTGTGCACCATCGAATACCATGCTTTCGCGCTGTCGGAGGAGACCGTGCCACTAGCCCAAGGTTGCGATGCGGTCTGCGTCTTTGTCAACGACACCCTAGATGAGCTCGTACTGAGAGCACTCCACGCCTACGGGATCCGTGCCATCCTGCTCCGCTGCGCCGGGTTTAATCATGTCCATCTCGCAACGGCCGAAGAACTAGGCCTCTTCGTGGCGAATGTCCCGGCATATTCCCCCGAAGCCGTGGCGGAGTTCGCAGTGGCCTTGATTCAAACCTTGAATCGGAAGACTCACCGGGCATACAATCGGGTGCGCGAGGGTAACTTCAACATCGAAGGTCTCCTCGGGAATACTTTACATGGTAAGACCGTTGGGATCGTCGGCGTGGGGCGCATCGGGCTTGCAGCCGCGCGCATCTTCCACGGCTTCGGGTGCCGATTACTCGCGCACGACCCCTTTGCCGGTGAAGAGTTCCGCCAGTACGGGACGCTAGTTGACCTCGACACCCTGCTAAAGGAGAGCCACATCGTTAGTTTGCATTGTCCCCTCACGGAGAGCACGAAGCATCTCATCAATGAAGAGACGTTGGCGCGCATTAGACCGGGGTCTCTACTGGTCAATACCTCGCGCGGTGGACTTATCGATACCACGGCGGTCATCCAGGCGCTGAAGACGAAGCAGCTGGGCGGGTTGGCATTGGATGTCTACGAAGCAGAAGGCGAGATTTTCTACAACGATCACTCCGGGGAGATCATCGACGACGACGTGCTGATGCGCTTGATGACCTTCCACAATGTCTTGATTTGTGGTCATCAGGGTTTCTTCACGCGCGAGGCTCTCGCAGAGATCGCCGAGGTCACACTTGGCAATCTGTCTGATTTGGTCTCGGCCCGCTCGTGCAAGAACTCATTGGTTACGGAGGGACATGTATTAGCTCCCGTCGATAAAGAGCCGGTCAGGCTCTAAAGGAAGCCCAAGAGGTATATCTGGATATGAAGTACCCATCCATGGATGCGTTGATAATTGAGAAATCTACCAAATCGAACACTTTCAACCTATATATCATTCCTCAATATTAAGCATGTAGGTATGCGCTCGAGTGTAGTCGTGCACCAATATACATTTCAACTGCGCAATGGACGAGTCCCTTGGAATTGACCCTGAACAGCTCGCCTGGCTCGGGGGAGGAAACAGTTCCCATGAACGATCAGCGGGACCACAGAGATCAGCCACATGAAACAAATAACCCCCACAGCAAGCATCAAACGGAGCTGCTCGAAGACCCGTCCAATCACCCCTGGTCGAATAACTCGCCGACCACCCTGGGATTCCTGGTCAGTACATGATAATGCCTCAGCCATTTGCCACGCTGCCCGACAGTTGATCTTTTCCCAGGTGGTATCATCCGCGTACTGACGGGCTGCCGCCGCCAGTTTTACTCGGCGGATTGGGTCGAGGGAAACCTCTTTGACCAAATGAACAAAACTTTCTAAATCGCGCGGCGGAACCAGATAACCAGTCTGTCCGTGCCGTATAATATCAGAGGGCCCGCCCTGATCTCGCGCGATGACGGGGATACCACTGGCCATGGCCTCGAGAACCACCAACCCAAAAGTTTCCGTGATAGAGCAATGAAGGAATATATCAGCCGAAGCATACGCACGAGACAATGCAGACCCGGTGAGAACTCCAGTGAAGACGACATGGTCTCGAACCCCGTCAAACAGGCGCTGGACTTTATCCTCAACAGCCAGGTTGCGGTTCCCGCCGACAACCAGTAGCTTGAAGGGCAGCTTGTCTGTAGCTAGCCGTTTGACGACCTGCGCGAGAAACTCGAATCCTTTCTCTGGGGCGATGCGGCAAACGCATATCAAGATGATTTCGCCTTGAGGTGCAATGTGACGGCGGTATGACTCGTCGCGCTGTGTGGGTGAGAAGAGAAGCGTATCAACACCACGACCTAGCTGAACGAGTCGATCGACCGGCACACACGAATTCTCTAAATATGTGCGAATCGCAGAGCATGGATAGAATATGGTGTGTACAGCGTGGGTGCGGAAGAGAAACCCCTGCACTGTTGCAAGGAGCCACACGCCGAATTTGTCTAACGGTGCGGGCAACATGATTTCTGCATAGGCGGACAGGTCAGTCTGAAAGTTGAGTAAGACCGGCGGAGGACAGCGCAGTTGGCGGATTTGTAGCAGCATTTGGAAACCAAGCGAGGCCGGGCTGGCGAGGTAGATGATGTCTGGCTTGAAAGACTGGTTGAAGAGAATATCCAGATGGAACGGATAGACGACTGTGAGATCTGGATTATAGGGTAGCGCACAGCCTGGAAGACGGTACTGCCAGGTCTTCTGCTCGGAAGATTGATCCTTGAAGGTAGGCGCAACGAGAATAAGGTCCACGCCGTTGTCGCGCAGATACTCGACCAGACTGCGCGTCGTGCGACTAACTCCATTTACAGGGCCCCATGATTCTGTAGTGAGGAGGATCTTCTTGCCACGCAGGGTATTAGGGAAGTCGAGATGGAACCCTTCGCTCTTCGCGCCCTCCGAGGAGAGGAGAGGCGTGTATTCGGCCATTGTGAGACATGAATACAATGTTCGAATATTGAGGGAATGCAAAGGTGTTTTGAAGCCAACAGATTAAAGTCACGAACAATGAACAACCCCTTTACACATCCGAGTGCATATACCCTGGGGTCTGATCTATACGCTGATCTATGCACGTGCCCTAACCGCCCGCTGAGGATCGTTGCTTGGTGGCCAGTCGTAGTTCGCGATGTGCCGCGTGCACCAGCTGGGCCTTCTGGTGCGAACAATCTAAATTTGTGGAATGCGAGAGACAGGTGACTATTGAGGGTCATGAGGCATCGAAATGAAGATAAGTCTTCATTTGAAAATCTACTTCGCCTTTTGATTATACTCCTTTGATAAACCCCCCTTTAATCATGACTTCTGACGCAACTCTGGAAGAGGGACGTTGTAAAAGCTTTATCATAAGTTTGGATAATTATATCTCCATAGGTTAGGCTCCTTCAAGGCCTGCGATTTAAGCCTGATATATACTTTCGACCATCATGGATGATTCTGAGGACTCTGCTCATGCAGATCAGATTGTAAACTAGCCTTGCGCTTCTCCAAATAGAGCCTAGGTCCTTTATGATGGAATTTGCGCGACTATAAGAGATGTGAGGCCTCGGGTTTTTCTCGCATCATTGCCTATTTATCCGCCGATACGTATAGCTTATATATATAAGGTCAGGCCTCGGTATTGCGGGGAAGATCAACATGGACATGTGCATAAACCCCTAGTAGCATAGGATGAAAATTGTGGGAGGAGTAATGCAATATAGATCTATATAGAGTAGAAGAGGTGTAATTTGGCAATTCGGGTGCTCTATAGAACATGTATAGGGTGGCCTCGTGAACGGAGATGTTACGGAGTAAGTATGTATTATCTGCCAGCTTGGGGAGCCATGATTGTCATCAACTTGATCGAGATAGATAGATGGTAGTCGCTATACCAAGCATTATGTTTTCATACGATATAATCATTGTAGAATAATCTGATTACTTTTGTTATAGGACTAGACTATCGTGTATACAATATAGACTTGTTCAGGAACTGAAGATCTGCAGGCCTCGGGGCTTTATCCCTTCTGGGAGATAAACTGGGAAGCCTCGGGCCATTTTGACATCATCCACGTGCGGGTACTTATAAGTCTTGTTTTCCTCTTTATTGACTTGCAGTTTTCCATTTTCATATCTATAAGATTATAAAGATTATAACAATATGGCTAACAATCAAGGTTGTAAGATTACTCTCTATTGGTACGCTCCCCTCGCAGTCTCTTCAGAATAATATTAACTCACATTCCAGGCTCGAGCAATCTAGAAGTCACCGAATCCTTTGGCTTTTGGAAGAACTGCGGTTGGAATATGAGCTCAAGATCTTCAAGCGTCGCGCTGACAAGCTCGCCCCTGCTGAGCTGAAGGAGATTCACCCGCTGGGAAAGTCACCCGTGATCACAATCCAGGCACCGGGCGCCGACAAACCGCTAGTATTAGCGGAGTCTGGGGCGATCGTGGAATATCTCTGTGACCACTTTAGTAGCGCGCGACCGACGCTGGTACCACAACGGTACACGCCCGGCAACGAGGGCAAAGTGGGCGGAGAGAGCGAGGAATGGATGCGCTATCGCTACTTCATGCATTACGTGGAGGGTAGTCTGATGCCTTACTTGGTGATGACCCTCGTCAACGACTGTAAGTCACTTTCAGTTAAGAGCGTCCACCCGTAACCTCTCGCATGGCGTTGATAAACTCAACCTTGGAGGCACACCGCTGACATTCTCAACAGCCATTCGGAACGCCCCTCCATTCTTTGTTCGGCCCATCACCAACATTGTTGCCTCGCAAGTTGAGAATCAGTTCCTGACCCGGAACGTGGAGGGTAACCTCTCCTTCCTGGAGGAGCAGCTCCGCACATCTCCCGAAGGTGGCGAGTTCATTTGCGGCAAGGAGCTGACGGCTGCCGATATTCTGCTGAGTTTCCCAGTCATTGCTGTTACCGCGCGATCGCTGAAGGAGGAGAAGAACAAGGGTAAATACCCTCTTCTTGTCGAGTATGCCAAACGCCTCGAGAGAAATGAGGGGTACCAGCGTGCTGTGAAGAAGATTGAGGAAGTTGAGGGAAAGTTCTCAGCTTCTATGTAAGTAAGAAGCCATGGGAAATAGGAAACGGCGCAATGGACTTTTGTAAATTATTATTGAGGTCTTGTTTATACCCTGTTGTGTCGGTGCTGAGATATGGAGGACATTTGGTTGGCGGATGATCTCGGATATCCTTGCACACCTTTGCAACCACAGGCATCGACCATGAGAATATTCAGCAAGTACAGAAAGAATGAATGAAGATATGAACGCAATATTATGCAAATTTTTTTACCTTTGAAAGATACAATTATAGCTCATCGTACCTAGGTAGTATAAAGAGTGAGAACCCCAAATATGATTACATCATTCAGCTGATTCATCATCATGTGACCTTCAACTTCAATCCCGGCGACGCTTGCAAGCGTTGTCTATTCTGTGTCCACGCTTCAACGCTTTCCGCAACAATGGCTGGTCCTAGCAAGTGTGAGTTTTGAAATTCCCATGAGTACAATTACATGGATTGCTAACCCATTGTTCCAGCTCTGATCCTTGATCCGGCCCTCCAGAAATACTATGGTACATACCCCCAACCCCATCTCCCAAGATCCAGGATTCCGGATGAACCTCGCGCATTACGCTAGCCCAAGCGTACCTACAAGCTACTTGGAGCAGCTCTCTCGAATTCAACACCCTGCGACACGAAATATACTCTCAATTGAACATTGACTAACAGACCCACAGAACTCAATGCCAACCGCTACAAGTACTGGCGCTGGACCCCGCGCCATGCCATGATCTCGTTCGTCTACATGGGCCTGATCCCCGGTGTCCTGGGCTACTTTGCCTACAAGTACGAGGTATGGAATGACACATTGTGGCCGGGTTGCGATTGTGGCCCAATCCCGCGGAGAAACACGCGCTAACAGTATGCAGGGCAAGTTCGAGTTCCGTGGCAAGCGCAGAGGAGATACGATCTCCGAGTGGTAGACATTTAGCAATGAATGCCATAATTCAATTCCTGTTTTGTTATCAACCCCGTACCGAGCAGCGACTGTGACATGACACGACATGGGGAACTACACTGAGAGGTTGGGGATACTCGTGTGTTGAGGGGATTTTGCCCGACTCTTTTCTTTTGTGCCGGTGCCCGTTGCGTGGGCCGTGTACTTTATTACAAGCATATACCGCATGGATTTCTTTACTTTCTTGGCTTCGTTCACGATCGTGAACCTTGGGGTTTACTTCCAAGGCCAAACATAAAAGCCCCGGAGTACACCACCTAGACAACGGTTATCATCCATTTAAGTGACTGTCTGTTGCTATTCGAGACTTCAAATAGGCGTCTACTTGCCAGGCTACCTGTCTAGAGATCATGGTAATGGCTGGTAAGCATTTACTGGTATTTAGTACATACGCAAGCTTTTTTACTGGATATGCTCCTGTCTAGTAGAATATCGGGATGCTGTATACCGAAAGTAGATTTCTCCTAGAGTATATAATGTCAAAATGCTTTAGGCTATAGGCACCTGTTTGGCAGTGGTAGCCCACTGGGGAAGAAGGAAGACCATTTTTATGTTGTGATGGTACTGCATGTAGTAGATGGCACTCATTCCATTGGTACTAAACTTGATAATCATACAATGTCTCAACATGGGTATTCATTGCCCTTTTGACAAACTTGCTTTTGAACTGGATTTCTCCTCGCCCTTCTCAGTATGGTGCCCATCCACGACGGCCTCCGCGTGCACCTTCCGGCAACCGCTCACCACGATGCCAATCACCTCGAGGCATATGGGAAGGACCACCACCGCCACCTCCTCCTCCACGAGGTCCACCACGACTAGGGCCACGGGGGTAGCCATTATCCCGGAACGCACGCATACCGCCTCCACCTCCACCTCTGGGTCCCGTGATCGGGCCTGATGCGCCATTGAGCGCGGGCGCAACGGATCCGTCCTCGAGCGGTGCGAGAATTGCACATTCAATGTAGTCTCCAACGATGAAACGGGCATCCTGTAGGGGTCTGTCGGCTTCGGAGCCCTGGAAACGGAGCGGGCCAGGGCGAGGTCGTGCTTCCTTATTTTCGTCATCTTCTGCGCGCAGTGTACTATCTCTCGGGCCAACAATAGCACTGCCTAAATCCCTGCTTAAGTATCGACCACGCGCATCGGGGCCGCCCATTGCCGCGCCGCGCGCGTCGGGATAAATGAGCCGGAAGCAGAGACGGGTGCCAACGGGCGGATCAGGGAGTAATGATGGAAGAGCAGAGGTGAGAAGCTGTGAGAGCTCGCGAAGTGTGCATGATTGCCATGTGTAGATCTCTAGATGTGGTGGGAGCGGCGCTGCAGATGCGACAGGTGATGTTGGACGAATGGAATTTGGTCCGCTAACTGGTCCTCCGCGACGAGGTTGCACGGGGATGCTATAGTCGGATAGAGGGTTGTAGTTGTTAACTCGGTAGAAGAGCTTCAAATGGAAAGGTGCAGTAGTCTGGCGGTTGATCGAGGGTTTGTGGCCATCTCGCGACGGAGCGGCCATGATGGATGGTAAGGTGAAAATTAGAGGTTGGAGACCCGAGGACGGGGAGAAAACAGAAGAGAATGGAAGATGCGATGAGTGGAATGTAAATTAAAGCTAGGATAGAGGTCCTCAAAGGTGGATGTTTGGGGTATTTTGGTTGAGGGGGAGTTGACTGGAAGAGACAAATGCGGCGTCGAAAAGCTGCGGGTTCTCTGACGTGCCGAACAGTCTTTTCCTGCCATCTGCCTCCACATCCATCTTCGTCGTTTGACCCAACTCGATTTTATTTATTGTCTACATAATTTTCACCTTGAGCTACAGTCGCATTATTTAAGCAGCTCGCTGCATCACCCCGCCACCATGGATTTCGCCGCATTGATGTCCAAGGAAATCTCCAAGGCTAAAGGTAGCGATTCCTCCAAGCCATCTGCCAAAGATACCGGGAAAGACTCCCCCGCAGTACCAACAAAGAAATATCTACGACGAGCCGATGTCGAAGCTGCCCGCATTGAAGCTTACAACCAAGAGCAAGAGCGACTCGCACGTGAACGTGAAGAGCGCATGGCGAATAAGCGCAAGCTCGAAGATGAAGAAGCGGATCGAAACCGAGAACGCGAGGAGAAGAAGCGAAGATTAGCGGAGGAGTCCAAGGCGAGGAGAGAGGCGGAAGAACGAGCCAAAGAACGTGAACGGCGGCGCAGGCTCGGTCTACCTGATCTACCTGAGGATACCCCAGCTGACGGCGACGAAGAGGAAGAGGAAGATATCGAGGAAGAGGAGCTTGTTGCAAAATTACGAGAGATGAATGCGCCAATAAAATTATTCGGAGAAGATTATCGAGCCCGTCTTCGACGATACCGTCGCCTGGTTCAACGAGCCGCTGCCCCCAAGAAGAAGGTGACTGACGGACCTATCCCCACCACCTTGGAGCCCGTGCCTGGTGGACAGATGATCATTCCGGCCAAGATTCCGAAAGACCAAGAAAGCCGCCTGTTCCTTTTCCGGCAGTTGGGATCTTACTTCAACATGGTTTTGTCGGAATGGGAGCTGGCACTAGCAAAGCGTGACGTCTCGGTGCGGGAAAGCTTCCAGGGAAAACAAGCATTTAACGCTATGACCCAATCGCGCGAAAACATGACACCGTTGTTCCGCCTCTTTGAGAAGTCCGACTTGGAGGACGGACTGTTAGAACCGATTGTGGAGATTGTGCACAAGGCGCAGCAGCGGCGATACGTTGATGCAAATGATGCCTATCTACGAGTGAGCATTGGTAAAGCGTATGTTTATCCCCCCACCCTGGTAAATTTGAGAATAATGCTAATATCTCTATAGAGCCTGGCCCATTGGTGTGACCATGGTTGGTATTCACGAGCGATCTGCACGGGAGAAGCTGCATCAGAGTGACCAGCAGGCACACATTCTGAGTGACGAGATTACCCGCAAGTATCTACAGAGTATCAAGCGCTGCTTGAGCTTTGCTCAAGTCCGCTGGCCACCGGAGGATCAATTGCAGATGATGGGTTAGCCTGTCGAGAATAGTGTCCGAATATACCCATAGCGTTTCGAGAAGGAAAAAACATGTAAATTTATAGCCCGCGATATTCATTCCGCCTTCAATTTGAACCTCAATCTGAACCGTTCTCTTTCAATAACTCGGAGACTGTGACAACGCGGTACCCTCTGCGATTTAGCTCCGGCAACACCTTCTGTAACATCGGCACTGTCCACTCTCTCCGATCGTGGCAGATAATAATGCTCCCTGGTTTGACCATACTCAAAATGTGACTCGCGTTGAGTTTCCAAAATGGCACCTGCGGGTCATGCGGATACACATTGCCAAGGACCAGCCGATATCCCAGCTCCTTTACAAGAGTTCTCATCCGGGAGCTGAAAAATCCCGAGCCAGGGCGAAAAAGCCAATTCTCAGGCTGTGAAGTATTGCCAGCTGCGACATATGCTTCCTGGATTCTGGCATGGACTGCTCGGATCTGATCTGCCAAGACGTCGTCGCCGAGTGCACGCGATGGCTCATCATACATGGCATGGTTGGCGAGTTCGTTGCCAGCTCGGACGAGATCGGCCAAGACGGATTCGTGTCCTGGGATCTGGGATCCTATCACGAAGAAAGTTGCAGCTGTATTGTGCGATTGCAACAGACGAAGGATTGCAGGTGTGTGTATGGAGGGCGCGTCGTCAATCGTCAACGCAACCACCTTTTTGTTTGTGTCCACGCGGAAGAGCACATCGGGCCAGCGACGTTGACAGTAACGAATAAGCAGAATTGGGGGTTTGTATATGAAATAAAATGGTACGAGGAGAAAGAAGGTGGTGAGGATGGCTTGAAGCATGTTTGGCTTCTTTGGAGGATCCAGCAAGGTGTTTCGTTTGAATTGGCGGGAGATATCTAGTTCGGACTTCCCCCATCTCTACATCAACTGGCCAGTTTTGCTAATTTAGGGATTCAAATAAAGCAAAGTACTTATTTTTTATTGTGTTTTTCAATTCATTTCAGTTGTCAGTGTCTATTGTCAGTGGCTAGGAGCTCCCACGAGCTCCTAGATAGGCACCAACCATATACGCGTAATCAGTCCTCGGAAATCCTCGAGATACCATCATTCATAGGGTGCCATAAGAGTATTTCCTAGCACCTTATTGGCGAATTCTTCCTCGCCAAGTGTCGTTGTGTGTGCCCAAGGCTTAAGCCGATTCTCTTCATGAATGGTACTAGCGAAGCACCCACTCCATTTAAGACGAGGGAAATGGCGGGAAACATCTTGGATAGTTGAGGGATGAATGAGATTGGCATATGAGCCAGTATTGTCTGTTTTCCAATAAGTTAGCATTTGGTCACGGTTTAAGGAAATGTTGTGTGAAGACAATCAACTCTGATAGAGGACCAACGTACCAAAGATCGTTGCCAGCTGAAGCAGTTGACCGAGAGCTGTGATTTTACCTTTTTCACACAAGTCTTGATGCCGGATGACTGCTTCTGCCACACTCTCTGCCTGATCTTTCGGGGCAACTGCGACCGAGCCTCCTACAAAGGAAGGTTGTAGGTTCTGCAGAATCTCCAGTGCTTTCAAGCCTCCGAAGAACTCAAAGCTCATTTTAGTAGCCTCTAAGTTATCCTGGGTTGTCCCGATATCGTGAAGCAGACAGGCAAGAAAATATGTTTCATCGGTGAAGGCCCATTCAGGGAACCTGTACCGCTTAATCGCAAGCCCAAAATGATAAACGCGAAGGGAATGATTGTATATCGGCTCAGGAAGATGAGACTTTGCATACTCGTTGATCCGCTGGGCGAGGGGCGTTTCTGGAGTCGGGACTTCAGTCACAGTGATGAATGGAGCAGGTGTTGCTGGGGGATCTGTTGCGAGAAGAGTAGTAGCTGATGATAGCACAGCTGTGAGACCATAGGCTGAGATTGGGTTATTGGAAGGCCACATTTTTTTGATATTGAGGCTGAAGAGAGAGAAAGTCGAGTCAGGAAGAATAGTTCTCTGGTCAATGCCTGGGGATAATTGGGGTTTTATACTCTGCCTCTCTCTTTCTCTGCTTTCTCATCAATATTAGGCAAAAAATAAAATGAATCCAGATTATTCGTTATCATAATAAATTGATAAGCACATCGCCCCTAGACTATGTAGCCTTTAAGGCTGAAGATGTAACCATGACTCACTTGCCACCGAATTGTTGACCGGAAAGGGAAATCTTCTCGTGTTGGCTACAATTTGTGGAATTCAAGAAGAGTATTTGTCACCTATTCAACTATTATTAAACAGTGTAGGATCTATGGTTTTCATGTAGGGCATCGCTGTATATCGTTACGGGATAGTTCCTGCTTTGATAGCTGCCTATACATCAAGTATATTAATGATGATGGCCAGAATTCACATTATAGATCAATTTGACAATTCAGGTAGAATTTTTCAATGCTAAAATATAATCCTATTCGTTCATAAATATCCAAACATGGAGTCACAATAAATTATAAACCACTCCAAACCTCAAACGACCTCTCCAGCAGCCCGGCGAATCGCTGCAGTGACTTCATCAGGCTTACTGAGGAATGGGCTGTGCGATGCGTCCACCGACTCTGTCTTCATTCCAGTTCCATTCGCGGTTCCTTCAACCATTGCCTGTTGAACCACCAGGGGAATAGCAGCGTCTTGAGTACAGTAGAGGTAAGTACTGGGTACATCTTTCCACGCGGCATAGGTGCAAGGACTGTGGAGAGTCTGATAACTGTGAGGCTTCAAGGTGGCAATGGAAGCCTCAATCTGGTCGGCACCACAGTCGTGGTAGAATGTTTTCTCTGGATCGGCAGGATTGATTTCCAACTTGTCGTCGCTAACGATGAACCATGGCAGGTCATTTCCACCGAAAGCGCCAATCAGCGAATCTCCTTCTTTAATGATAAAGGAAGTGCAGAAGAACAGATGAGTGACACCTCCAACCAAACCATTCTGCTGGCGTGTCTTGATGTCTAGACCTTTGATTGCCTCGTTTGCAGGCAAGCCACCGTAAGAGTGAACAACCACGACGACTTCTTGACCGGCATCCGCTGCTCGCTCGATTTGGGTGCGAATTTGTGCAACATCTGCATCAAAGCTCAAGTGATGCTCGGCTGGACCAACTGAGGGCAAATGGACTTTGTCGGTTTTGTAGTTTACTGCTTCAAGGCGTTGCACCACTGGATCATAGCAGTCAGGGCTGTGCCATGCGCCTGGAACGAAGAGAATAGTGGTAGATTCAGTCATCTTTTAAGGAAGAGAATATAGTGAGAGACTAGCGTGTTTAGAAATGAGATATATCAGAAGGTATGAATTGGCCAGGGATGCGTAGAAAGAGGACAGACACTACACTATATATGTATACATGGGTAATCCTCGGGGGTAAACACGGGAATAATGCCCTTTGGAAGACATTCCGAACAGAGATCGACACAGGGAAATGGAGCTAAATTCTTAGAAAAGACTGTCAAGGTAGTTTTATCGGCAACTGAGGGGGGAAAACCGTTAGAACCGTCCTGTTCCCGTTAGTATGTATGGGGCAGTTTACACTAAGCGAGTAAGCCAAGAAACGGTGGGAAAAAAAGGGGGGGAGACGGTTGAGAAAACGGTTTTGTTCTGAATGATATAATTAGAATATAGTAAACCATGGAACAGATAGTGTGTAAATCATAGTTAATATTGAAGTACGAAGTATGTTGTATATGAATTTATAGACTATAGTATAGGGATATCGGAGTTAGTACATGCAGCCCTAGTTGGGTTGACGAGCTGCTGACCGCATTGGGTCAAGTGGTGTGGCAACTCTCGTATTTCTCACCGTCTTGAAGCATTCGAGTTTCATGTATACGGAGTATGGAGTATGGAGTACTGATTTTAACTCTTTATTTTTATACCTCCCTTAATATGCTAGGCGACCTATGGAGTATAGTTGATTACTGTACGTTATGAAGGCTTCGGCTTTAGCTTGTAGTTAATAAACTAAATCTCTAAACCTTTGAAGAGATAAAAATTAAATTAGTGATATTAAAGACTATAGGTTATTAATGAATAATTATTAGGCTTAGTGATGGCGTAGTTCTTGTCCATGGTGCTTATTGGAGGAGAATGTTAACCACCTAACCTTGGAACTTAATAAGATAAGCTCTTCCAAGCTTTTGGGAAAAACGAGTTGCTTACCCAAAATCGATTCTTCTCTTTCATCTCCATCTCCATCTTAACGCATCAACGTATCTATTTCTTCTTTTATCATTCACGCAGCCAAGATTGGTATATCGTCATTATATGGTTTATTGTGGAAAGCCAAGTCCTGCCTGTGGGCGCTGTCGCACTCGTCGCTTGAAAGTATGAATATTGAGGCCAGAAGAGAAAGCCCTTCGCTAAATTGCCTCACCAGTGCGATCAAGGATCACCATCATGTACCCAATGCATGCGGGCTCAAGTGGATTGTCCGGGATATCGAGATCCGTTGGACTGGAATTTTCGAGATCAGAGTGAAGATGTGATCCGCAAGTCTCAGCAGCCACGCAGAAAGCGCGCAACCGCTAGCCGCTCTAGCACCGCTACCACCTCCACAATCTCCACCACACCCACTAGCAGCGTTCAGGATGTGACTCCGCCAAGAAACAGTCTTATTTACCCAATCCAAGAATTAGCAAGGGCCCATCTCTTCGTGAACTACATGTCTGGGGGCCCCAGCGGGGGCCACATGTCCTATCTGCTGCCTTTGATGAAAGACTCTCGGAATTCACCCGTTTTGACCACCGCACTGGCCGCGGTGGGATTAGCGGCCCTGTCGAACATTCGTCTTTCTCCACGAATGATGCTCCAAGCTAGGAAAGAGTATACGACCGCACTATCTCAGACCAATCATGCGCTCAGAGACCATGTTCTATCCAAGAGAGATGATACATTGGCAGCTGTGGTATTACTGGGTATGTTTGAGGTAAGTGTTGAGTTGCCTTTCTTTTTTATCCCGCTCTACTAACGGGGTGCTTTTTAAAAAAAGGTAATGACCTGCAGCGATGGATCTTTTATGTATCGATGGATCAAGCACATGGACGGAGCCAGAAAGATAATTGAACATCGAGGCTCAGAACAATTAACTCGACCGGAGGGTTTAGGTTTGTTCACGAATCTACGGGCGCAAATTGTATGTTTCCCACCATTTGGATAGGCTAATCAACAATATTCTGACATTACTACCCAGAGCATCAGCCAAATATACCAAGAGAAATACAGCTCTCCAACTATGACCCAGCTCACGGAAGAGGCAAAGCAATACCGAGACCCAGACGACCGAATGGTCGATGATATTAGCCGGGTGGTCCTCCAATTGACCAACTTTTGCGCAGCCCTTAAAGATGGCAGTATCGCCCAGCCCAGCGAGATTATCCGCCGTACTCTGAACCTTGACGCAGACCTCATGTCAATACTCCTTACTATGCCTCCCTCGTGGGGGTATAAAACAGTCAAGGTTCCGCTGGTAGACGGAGAGCCCATCACCCGCACCGTTTGGGGCGATAGTTATCATGTGTATCGCGATCTTTCTGTGAGCGGCATTTGGAACAATACTCGCGCTGCGCGACTCATAATGCACGAAGTGCTTCTCGAGGCTGTGGAAGCACTTGAGAATTCATCACCGGGGAGCAGTGGCCTCCATCAACAGCAAATTATTACGACTCAAAGTCAACAGATTGCGCATCAACTGGTGGATGATATCTGCGCCAGTGTACCCTTCCATCTGGGCATGGGTATGGATGATACCTACGAGTGGGAATCCTCCAGCCAAAACGCTGCGTATGAATCCTATCCTGTGGCGGGAAATCCAGAGGGCTCATTTCCGACCACACCATTTCCATGGATGCCAATGCCCGAATTTCCATCCGCCGAGGGAAGCTCATCTTTGGGAACAGATGCAGCACACCTTGGAGCCTTTTTACCCAGCACGAACATGATGAATTCAGAGAACCATCGTGCCGCGCCTCTCCCTCCTAGTTTCGAGGTCTCAGGGGCTGGAGGCGTCACTCTAGTGTGGCCTCTGTTGATTGCTGCAAACTCTGGATTTGCATCTCCTGAGCTGCGTAAATGGATTATTGGTTGTCTGGAAAAAATTGGACATGCTATGGGAATCAATCAAGCGTTGGCTATGGCACAGTTATTGCGGGATGGGATGGATTCTCGGGCCTGGATATCGCCGGAGGGCTCTCCAATCCATGCGACTTCGTGAGATGCTACTCGTGCTATTGAGGATGGTTATTACGTATCTTGTTATATTTTCGATGCCTATTGTTTTTTCGGAATTATATCTACATGGTAACAACCAACTGGATGATACTTTAGATGGAAACCTGGTGAATGTAACAGATTTAACCATAAGAAACACAGTCTAGGGACATGAAATAATCGTAGCAGCATGTATATTGCCCACAATCTAGTTTCATCTAACAACGCGACTAGTATAAACCAACAACAACACTATAAAGATGATCTCGATACAAGAGCTTAACTTGGTATGGATGTGCCTTTCACTTAATTACCAAGGATATACAGGAAAGAATTGAATCGTTGAAGAGGGTGAGGTTAATTAATTCTCAACATAATGCATTTATAAGGAAGACTAGACAAACATTTTGACGACTTAAGGATCAAAATTGACAAGTAGTAACAAGAGATAGCTATAGCCCAACGCTTCGAATTGACAAGATCCCGCTTTCCAATTCAATCATATTGCCAAACATAACAACAGCCTTTGATCATCTATCTGGAATTACCGTCGCACATATTGTTGATTATAGGCGTCTTGAGCCGCCGCCTGGGCATATGTGACTCCTTCATATGGAGGGCGATCAGCATGTCTATGATGACGGCCATCTTCAGTATCATCGGTCGCATGATAAATCTCTTGTTGACGGGAATCGGTTATGCCAGAATTTGTGACCGACTTTGGGGTAATCACACCCAAGATCGTGTACATCAAAACAACGACAAATTCTTCCAGGGTGGCCATTACCAGTTGAATCCTGGCGTCACCGTCGACCAGCGAAAATTGATGATTGTTCCCAAAGTCACTGATCAGACTGTAGAGAATCCGGATCGCTATGAAAGGCAGTGCGATGAATACACAGAAGAAGATTCGGTTTTGACTCGGTACCATGAGGCTGATATCCCGCACTGTGATGGTCCATAATGCGCAGGCCGCAACATAGATGGCTAGGAAGAGGATGACCGCAACACGGGTCTTGGTTTTACCACTAGCATGGTCCGAGATATTTGAGGAGGCCTGATCGGTTCCACCGCTGATAGCGAGGATCAGAGCAATAAGCGCAGGGAGATGCAAGAGTTGAACAGCCTTGCTGCGTCTTGACGTAGCTGTGGCCCTCTTCGAATATATGTTCATCCTGGAGGAGATAGAATGGGTCAGTGTAAACTCGGGATTTGTACTAATTTAGCAGCAAGGCTACTTACAGTTTGCCAGTAATGCTAGATGATGCGAATCCTTGCAACAGGATGTTGCCCTTGGAGCCTGGACTTGATGGCACATGTTGCGATGTTTCGTCAAACCTATCAGCTGGTTAGTTAGACAAGCTCACTTGATAGGCTAGTGGCTGGGACTTAGACTCACACTCGTTTTAACAGACCCAGTGTTGACAGAAGCAGTGGGGATAGTCCAACAGATTGCAAAATCACTGCCCATTCTTTGTAATTTGCATTGTTTGGGTTCTTCGTGCTCAAGATCTCCATAATGGCCCCCCAACTCGTATTCCTGAAAAGATACTCAAGTAAATCCAGCCCAACTGCTTGTGAAAACCATGGCGGAGAACGACCCATATGGTGAGCAAAGCCGTTGGGATATAAATGATCAGCTCTGCGATGGCAACGTGCTCTGTGGTGACGACAGCCATGACTAGTAAATATCTAGGAGTCTTGTCAAGTAATCAAGAGTATAATGTAGAGTTGAAAGACTAAAGAAATATGGGGTTCTTTATACACGGAGTTGTGATTCTCCTAACGCTTGGGTCCATTAAAAAAAATCGAAAATTCCAACCTGACAAGGCAACACTGTTGAAGTCCATTCCCGATTTGGAGGTCAGCCGCATTCTTGAATGCCCGAAGAAAAGAAAGAAGCCATGGAAGCAAATAAGCAAATCTAAGCTTCGGGGTCTTCTGGGTCCCATGCAAAACACCTCCCGCCTTTCCTATTTGGGACTAGCGCCCATGACTATGTGGGTCATCGAAAGACTTACCCTTTTCGGAAATCTATAAGTTTCAAAGTTGCTGGTATGAACGCCATGATGACTCAAAAGAATATCCACTCCCTTAATGCTGTTGCCTTAATCTGAAAGCCCTTGAGTCGTTTAAAAAAATAATACAGGATACGTCATTTGTTCAGATTTGGTGACGCTTCGAGGATGTTTACGGTAGAGGCTGTGAGGCTGATTATGGTAAACTAGAACAGTCGAGCTAGAGATGTCACAGAATGAGCCGTGTATCTCGAGTAAATGATATATAACTACCTGGAGAGCCAATAATTCTAATTTAGTGAATGTCTACCAGGAACTTTGGCTTCTTTCTTTTGAGAGTTCTTGAGTATGTTATCCGTGATTTATTTTATTCCGGTTTGCTTGGCCTTGGGAGCCTCGGCTACCATTGATCCCGGTTATAATTGTCGCCCAGGCCAAAAATGTTGGCCATCATCGAAAGAATGGCAAAAGTTCAATGCGACCATCGATGGGCATTTGTATGAAACTGTTCCAATCGCGGCCCCTTGTTATGAAAACTCCCTACATTATGACGAAGCCGCGTGTCGAGACGTGGAGAACTATTATGGTGATAGTATCCCCAGAGGAACACACTACGGACAGACATACTGGTTGAATTGGGAGACCTGTGGCGATGCGGGATGTGCTTTACTGGAAACTCATCCATCAGAGCTCCTCTATAGCACATGCACCCTTGGGAGACTGTCATCATACTATGTGGAAGTTCTAGATGCCTCTCACATCTCTGCAACTCTAAGATTTGCACATGCCCACAACATTCGCATCAGCGTGAAGAACACTGGCCACGACTTTTTCGGACGATCATCAGTTCCCAACTCACTCGCTATTTGGACTCACAATCTCGATTCTATTGCATTCAGTTCCAACTTCACTGCAAGCGACTGCCCCCTGGCCAACAGTCAGAATGTTGGGGAGCTGGGAGCTGGAGTCATCGCAGCCGATGCATATCATTTCTTCAGCTCGAAAGGGATGGATATCACAGGAGGGTACGAACAATCAGTCGGACTGGCCGGTGGTTTCGCCCAAGGTGGTGGTGTTGGGTCATTCACCACTACCTATGGTTTGATGGCTGACAATGCCGTTGAATTTGAGGTGGTGACTGCAGATGGAGAAGTTCGCACCATCAATCAATGTAACGAACCAGAGCTGTTCTGGGCTATGCGTGGTGGAGGCGGCGGCACTTTTGCTGTACTCACCAAGTACCGAGTTCAATTGTATCCTTCTCTGCCCATTCACACATACACGTTCACTGCCAACTTTACCGGTGATACGAGCGACGCAACTCAGAACATTGCTCTGCGCGAGATCCTGACGGCTCATGCGGAGAATCAGGCTGAGTGGTCAGCCCAACTTGTTACCGGCCAACTGGAATACTTCCCAGAGAAAATAGCCATCTCAATGGTGTTGCTCTATGGCGATAATGGCTCAAAGTTGAGATCAGCCAGCGCTTCGTTTGCCGAATTTTTAAGCAACAGAACCGACCTTTCTGTCTCTGCCAATGAATATACATCTTACCCTGACTATGCCAACTATCTCACCGTCACTGCTGCCGATGCCAAGGTCACGGAACCGTCGGGTATCTTCTCCATATTGGCATCGCGCTTGATCCCTCACACAGTCTTCGATGCCTCTGAGACTATCGATGAGCTTGTGGAAGGTGTCATACAAGGCATCGCAACAGCTAGAAGTCACCTGAATCTCACTGGAACCCAAATAGTCTTAGAAACGCCAGTCTCAAATCTCGATAAGAACCGGATGTCATCTGTGCATCCAGCTTGGCGCGATGCGCTCTGGCATGTCATTCATGTTGGAGAATGGGTAGAGCCTTTGGAGGCTGATGAGCAAGCAAGTGTGGCAGCGGCCTTTTTGCAAACTCTCGAGCCTTTGAAGAAATTGAGCCCTGGTGGCGGTGCGTACTTTAATGAAGCACATTACCTCGAGCCAGATTGGGAGCAAACATATTTTGGGTCGAACTATCCAAGGCTTTTGGAGGCTAAGAATCAATATGACCCGACTCATATGTTTGATTGCTGGAAATGTGTTGGGTGGAGAGGTGAACACGAGTAAGTTCTCTGATCAATTGGAGTGGGAGAAACTAACGCGAACTGCTGGTCAGCCCATTCTACTCCTGCTATTAGCGGTTTCAGTGCATATTGAATTCGGAATTCAAGGGTTGATTGGAGGGTTGGTTGTGAACTGCAACAAAACAGTTTTGGGAGAGGAGGCAGGCGACAAAATCGTTGAAAATAAGGTAGATGAAACAATATATATGATATGTGCCTTTTCATGGCATTTCTAGAATTTTACATTGAGGATCATGATGTACATGCAACATATTTTGGTCGAGACACTCATCGTGTAAGACCATCCCACATGCGGGAAAATGTCTTCCACCAACCACGTGCAGCAGACTGGTCTGTGACTGTTGACATTTTGCTGAAGGTATCTTCACGAGTCAAGTCCGATGTATCGCTATTTGGATAGATATGGTGACCATCCATGCCGTTCATCACGGAAAGCGAAGAGCCATGTATTTTAGCAGATGACGTGAAACTACTGCAGACACTGCGGCTGTCCCGCTCACCGTCTATCAAATGCCCAGCAGTGTAGATACACCCGCCGTATGAGAATCTGACTAGAGAATCTCCAGTCAGGCTGCCGATGATGTAAACTCCCGGTGCGACCTCGAGGTCCTCGATTGCTTTCGCACGGAGGGTCTGGCCGGTGACTGCTGGATCCTCTTGATTGCCCTGCCCCAGCACTTCACAGCGGAGCTCGGAATCAAGATAATCTAGCTTGCCTCGCCGACCGGCAGCATATACGAGGCCGCCCACGGTTCGAGAGAAAACAGTTCCATCTTGGCGGCGGCATGTGACCGTCGCCAGATCGCCGTGAACTTCGGCAGCTGTCACTTCAACATTAGGAAGACCTTCATAGAGATCTTCCCAATTCCGGCTTTCAAGGAATGGCGTTGAAGCCGCGCGCCGGTACTTTGGGCGCTGGTCTTTCGCAGCAGCCTCGGCTGTGAGGGCAGCTCGTTTCATAAGACGGTAGACACCGGCATATTCCGGATATGCTTGCTGATGACAGGCCCGCAGAGGCGATGGGCGGTCATTCGGAGACCATTTGTATAGGTGCAAAATCTTTTGGTTGGGTGAGGCGGAGATGATGGCATCCGCAGCGGAGAAGCCAGATCCAACGACGAGTAGGGGGACATTAGGTGAGGACTTCGTCTCAACCAATGGACGTAATACCGGCTCTGGTGAGAGAATCTCGGAAAAAATTCCACTCGCGAGGACGAGGCGTTTGCAGTGGAGGTTATGAGAACGAACATAAAATCCAGTGGCGGTGCGGGAAATGCCCTTCAATTCTTCCCCACACCGAAAAGCATCGTCGATGTGCGCAGCCTCCGGGTAAGCAGCAAAATAATCGGCGATCTCGCGCCGGGTGGGCCTTGTATATGATGGTAGGTCCTTGCCCGTGGTCTTTTTGTGATGGTCGGCAAAGGAGTATCCGGGCAATGATAGCATTGCCGCATAACTCAATGTCTGTATATCCCAATTTGCGCCCCATGGATCTTCAGTCCATTGGCCTCCAGGCTTCAAGGACTTCCCAAAAACCAAATGCGAGACAGCCTTCTCAGGCTGTGGGCGCCAATCAATATTTGAGATGCATCCAGGCTCATCCACATCAACACTTGGCCGTACAAGTGTGTCCAGTAAGACGTTTACAGGAAGAGCCTGAGTCGAGTATGAGAGGCGTGAGGCATCAAAGTGCGCCGTGAGAGCATTCACATCGGCATTCAAAATCTCTGGCGCAGCTTTCAACTTGGCATCTAATAAATGATCGGGATGTGGAGGATCGGATGAATAGAAAGGAATATGTCCATGGAGGATGTATGAAAGGATCATGGCCGACGGCCCATTGCCTGGTAAAATCGATTCAATCAGTTGCTACTTCCCAAGGACATCTTCAACAGTGCGGGGTGGGATGTGGGGCTCAAGAGCAAACGTCCTGAACGTCCTGAACGTCCTGAACATTCTGAACGTCCTGAATGGCCTCAACATGGGACGCCGACCATGATAGACATACCGACGATGATAGTGTCAACCTCCATTGACGATGTATATCAAATAAGAGATGGAGCGTATGGCATACTGGTATAGACATGCGACAGGGTTGAAAAAAAAATAAGGTACATCCAATCAGAACAGGATGAGATCCTTGTCACACTGCCTTCTCATAAGAGGTCGAGAGCAAGGCCATAAGGGAATGTGGACATTTGTCAGGGAATTCAAGGAAAGTCAAGGAAAGTAAATGCCCCAGACAAGAGGGGGGGCACTTCGTATCGGCATCGGCCGATCAATAAGCAAAAGCTGACAAACCCTTGGAAAGTGGAGTGTCCAGTGGAGAAGAAGAGGAGAATCGGGAAAGTCGATGATTTTCTATTTGCCGCAAATGGCCTGGATACCGAACCCGAAAGTATTCGGAAGTGTGACGTTTATCATTATAGCGTCATATTTCGGAAGTTTAACAGATTGAATACAACCATATTTGAATGTTGAATGTTGAATTGCATATGATATACAAAGGGAAATCTCCAATGTTGAACAGAGTAGTTCACATTCAAACATCCCCAGATATAACATCCAGCCCTAAGCCCTAACTTCCCAAAATGGATGAGGCCTGCAACGCGGGAACATGAGCACTTCAACGTCAGAGAACTGCGATGTCATGATTTCGGTTTCTGATTCTGTTTTTCTATAACTACAATTGCGCTTGGCCTTGAGCTCCCCATAGGGAACGCGATCATGTATCACCTGGCCAAGTCGCTGTACTTAGCCGCCACGAGCAAAGAAGGTAACTCACTCTCTCCTATCGCATAACCTTCCACGCTGATTACCCTGAACTACAGAGTATTCTGTTATCCTGCTTGGATTAGATAACGCCGGCAAAACAACACTCCTCTCCCAGATCAAGGCGCTGTACCAACCCCGTTCCGACGGCGCCCCAGCACCCAACCCCGGGAAAACGGTCCCCACCGTCGGGCAGAATGTCGCAACGATAGCCCTACCAGACATGAACTTGAAGATTTGGGATGTCGGAGGCCAGATCTCCATGCGCGGACTGTGGCAGAGTTATTACACTAGCTGTCACGCGATCATCTTCGTGGTCGATAGTGCCGACGTTGGTCAAGATCCCGATATCGCGCGGCTTGCTCGGCGCGCAAGCTCCGTGGCAGGTCCAGCGCGCAACGGCACACGAGGGAGCACAAGTGCCGAGGCTTTTTCAGAGCAAAACGTCGGAATCAATGCCGCTAGCAGTGAGTTCGGGCGATTAGATGAGTGCCGCCAAGTGCTCGAGTCGGTCTTACAAAGTGCCGACGTGGCTGGTGTTCCTATCCTAGTGTTGGCAAATAAGCAGGACCGTGAGGACTGTGTCGAAGTGGTTCGCATCAAGGAAGGGCTTGTCCGGAAAGTGTTTGAAGGAGAAACAGGAGGCGGCGTCCGTGACAGCCGTGTGCTGCCGGTCAGCGCGCTGCTTGGGTCTGGCGTACAGGCCGCTGTGGAGTGGGTACAAAGTCGTGTCAAGTGGAACAAAGAGGGCAGGCCTCCAGTGATGCGTTGATTCGAACTTGGGGCTGCCGATAATTCTCGTACATGATGTCGAGCGCAGCATCTGATGCATAATGGTGTTTGTTCATGATAATTACATTTTCTGTTAATATACCAATGGAGTCTATTCGATATGAAGTCTAGTTAACTATCAGCTACCCGTATTATTTAAGCGGGTGAAACTATTGCAGGAACGATTTCAGGCATTTTATTCCGCTAGGTAGACATTATGTAAGTGGTATTATGAATGAGAATATGTAAAAATGGGCCGCGGAGGATGAGAGGACATGAAGGGGGTGGTTAGAGGAGGTTAGCAGCCGTCCAAGACAAGCAGGAGGTGCAGAACCGAGAGTAGACCTTCCTGCAGAAAGAATTGATAGGCCGGTGTTTTCTGCGCCGAGGATTGTTTTCTTGTCTTTTTTTTTTTTCAGCGAACACTTCTGGTGGTCTGGGTTTTACTCGCCGGTGGCTTCTTTGGCCAGCTTCGTGCGATATCAATGTTGGCTCGTGGAAACCACATCTCAAGGAAGACATAGATCAAGAAGTCAATCACCACACACAGGCAGAACAGCTTGCCTGCCCAGACACCACAGCCGTAGTAGCGTTTCAACCGGTCAATAAGCGCAAAGCTGCGGACACGATCCCCACTCGCTTCCCAACCTTGGCCTGGGTAGTAACCGTAAAACTCCTCTGGGCTAATGTCACCAATTATGCCTTCGTACACACGCTCTGTGCGCGCAGCCACGTCCCGCCATGAATACATCATCTTAACTTGATCATGAAATCGGTCCGTTCGTACTTTGTTCGAGCGCAAAGCCGCGATTGCCTTGCTAGTCGCAAGCACAATATCGTCCTCTTCCGGTTTCGCAAACGTTGTCATATGCTGGGGTAAAACTTCTGGAATGCCTCCAACACGGGTACAGACAACGTAAAGACCACAACTGGCAGCTTCAACAATGACTGTTCCAAATGCTTCTGTCAGACTAGGATGGAGGTAAATGTCACCTCGCACCATCACATCTCGGACCTCCTCGTGTCGAACCGAACCTAGAAGTTCGACTTTATCTTGAAGCACATTGCGTTCCAACATCTGCTCCAGGTCGATTGCTTTGGGACCTGATCCTGCGATAATAAAGCGAGTGTTGGGATTAGAGGCAAGAATCCGTGGTATTGATGCGATGAGAAGATCAGTGCCTTTGTTGTAAAAGAGTCGCGAGATGACAACGATTGTGATCGTGTCGTCGGGTCCGATTGGTCTGGGGGACATTGGAGCATCGGCAGGTGAGCTCAGGCCTTGATCAGGCGCACGAGTAGTATGAGACAGAGGGCAGAAATTCTCCGCTACCACAGCGTTTGGAATGACCGACACCATTAATGGATCTAACGAAGCCCGAAGTACTGTGTTTTCCTTGCTACAAGTTTGTTAGTTGAGTTGCGCAGTACATTCGCGGGGGACCTACCAAGTGTGACTAACGCAAATCGCATGATCAACATCACTCAAAGTAAACTTGAGTAATTTGTTGGTGAGAATTGATGCTGCGTCAGCGAATCCGAAGAGCGAATGGTCTGTGAACACAGTCCGCAGTCCCATAGTTCGAGCATGGAGAATAGCTTCTCCACAGAAGCTGCTTAAACTGGCATGGCCATGAACGATGTCAATCTCCTCTCTGATGACGATATTGCGGAATATGGGGAAGAAAGAGAAGACGGTAGGGAATGTCGTTTCGCGGTAGATGACGAAGAATGGCACATGGTAGATCTTCAGTCCATTGGTGAGATATCGGACTCCGGTGCGTCCTTTGTATGCATGGGTAATAACAATGACTTTATGTCCTCGATCGATGAGTTTCTGAGGAGCAATTAGGAGAAGCGCAGACAGAGCGACAAGGTAGCGTGCTTACGGACGACAATTGGTATATGTGACTCTCAATTCCACCTAGAAAAGTATAAGTAATTGCGTAAACTGCAAGGGAAAGAACGAGGCATACCTGACTGGGGAAAAAAGAAGTCACTGACCATTCTATATCCAGAGCGATGTTAGCAAGTAATCGCGACTTGTAGATAGAACGAATACTAACGCGATGTTATACGGCATCGTGGCTGTGATTCTCGGGACGAGAACTCCGAGGTAATGAATTTGCTTGTGTCAAATTCCTTTCCATGGCTAATAGATCTGCTGTTTAAAACACCAGTCCATCCAAGCCAATAAATAAGGAGACTTGGAGACACACCTGTGGACATCTGGAAGCTGTCCCGATAAGCAGGGCGGTATTGCGGGCGGTAATATTATTATGTCTTCTGCCGGCATAAAAGATTCAGAGAAAAGGAATTTGATCCCCACGAGGTATCCAGCGCCAACTCCGACATTGGGGGAATTACATGAGAATGGTCGAAAAAAACTCGGGACTCGAGTCCTCTAAGAGGGTTGATGTGACTCCTAAATCCACAAAGTCTCAGAAGCGCAAGAGAGATCCCCATGGCTCGCAGCCTACAGCGACCCCCACGCCGACGAAGAAGCACAAGAAACGCGAAAGCTTGCCGATCGCAGAGGTCACAGATGATAGCAGCACCAAAAAGCGCAAGCATCTCAAGGATGCGCTTCAAGGATCGAATTCCCCGGAAACGTCCCGGAAAGAAAGTACTCTCTCGTCAGACCGCAGAAAAGCGACGGCTGCAGACTCACGCAACGACGTCAGTGAAACGACAGGGAAATCGAAAAAGAGCAAGCGAAAGATCTCTGGAACGGACGACACATTGGATGATGCGACTGCATCTGTGATTACAGGAAATGATGATGAAGAAGTTGAAGCGCCGGAAGTTGAACAGCGCAAATCGAAGAACAAGCATTCTGGGATTATGTCAAAGTTCGAGCGCACCAAAACCGTCTCCAGTGCTAAGGCCAAAAAAGCCGAACCCGAAGCCGTTGAAGACGAGACACCTGCTGTCGAAGCTGTCTACGCACAGGGTCTTGAACGACTACCTCAGCCCGAAAACCCACCCGAGCCAGAGCAACTCCCAACATATTCATCTCTACCGCCGTGGCTGGCCAATCCGTTGCGCAAATCAGCTCAAGATACCAAGAAATTTTCTGAGCTCGGAATCAAGCCAGATCTTCTCAAAATCCTGGAGCAACATAACTACAAAGAAGCCTTTGCTGTGCAGTCTACCGTCATTCCACTTCTTCTGCCAGGAGAGCAAAACCACCCAGGAGATCTTTGTATCTCTGCGGCAACTGGATCCGGAAAAACACTTTCCTATGTTCTCCCTCTTGTCACCGCTCTGCCGCCGAGACCTGCCTCCAGACTTAGAGGATTGATTGTAGTTCCCACACGAGAGCTGGTTAAGCAAGCTCGCGAGTCCTGTGAACTATGTGCTTCTGGATCCAGACTTCATATCGGAAGTGCAGTCGGTAATGTGGCTATAAAAGATGAGCAGAAACTCTTGATGCGAGTGGACCAGGTTTACAACCCGGCTATCCAGAAGCAACAACGTGACGGATTGAACGGAAACGATTGGATGAACTTGAGCCTGGAAGATTGTGTCAGTGAAGCAATTGGCTCTAACGGGTCTCTTCCTGGACACATCCAGCGATCCGAACCGAATGTCGACATCCTTATCTGTACTCCTGGTCGCCTGGTTGACCACATTCGCTACACCAAGGGCTTCACCCTCAAGCATCTTGAATGGCTGGTGATTGATGAAGCAGATCGTCTCTTGAACGAAAGCTTCCAAGAGTGGGTTGATGTTGTCATGAACTCGCTAAACAGTCGGGAGGCCCCGGAGACCTTTGGGCCGGGTGGAAAGCTTTTGTCTGAATTGGGACTTCCGATTGATGCTAAGCCTCCTCGGAAGGTGGTTCTGAGTGCAACAATGACCCGCGACATTTCCAAACTCAACTCCCTGCGCCTCGCTAACCCAAAGATGGTTATCATCGGGTCTGAGGATGCTGCAGACGAAGAAGACCCCTCTGCTATTCATCCAGATGCCCACTTCGCCCTACCACCAACTCTGTCTGAGCATATTGTTCAAGTTGGCGATGGGTCTCTCAAGCCGCTTTATCTGCTGCGTCTTCTTCTTTCTCACATTGAGATTAGTGGGGACCGAGCGCCGAGCGTGTCTGATTCATCCGACTCTGACAGCTCTAGTTCAGATGATGACACTAGCTCTGACGACGCTACTAGCTCTGACGATGATACTAGCTCTGACGAATCATCTGATGACGACACTTCATCCTCTGGGTCAGATGCGGAGTCAGACTCAGACTCAGACTCGGATTCTGATTCTGATTCTGATTCTGATTCTGATTCTGATTCTTCGGACTCATCTGACTCGGAATCCGATGCTATGGAACTCGTTCCCTCGCCCTCGCGTAAGACTGTTCTGATTTTCACCAAATCATCCGAGTCTGCATCCCGACTTGCCCGTCTCATCTCTCTTCTGCATCCCGCATTAGCCAAGCGCGTGGGAACAATCATTAAATCCAACAAATCGTCTGCGTCTCGCAAGACATTGACGGCTTACCGACAAGGTCGCATCTCGGTGATTGTGGCTACTGATCGTGCCTCCCGTGGTCTTGACCTGGAATCTTTGACTCATGTCATCAACTACGATATCCCGACCAGCATCACCACTTACGTCCACCGAGTGGGACGTACCGCCCGTGCTGGACGCGCAGGCTCTGCGTGGTCCCTCGTTGCTCACCGCGAGGGTCGCTGGTTTGCCAACGAGATCGCAGCCAGTGTGGACGGCCGGATCACGCGTACCTCGAACATCGAGCGTGTCCAGATCAAGACGAACGCATTAGACTCACTCAAGCCTAAATATGCTAAGGCTCTGGATAAGCTTGAGCAAGAGGTCAAGCGTGGCTAGTGTGGCTTCATATGTGTTTGCGATTTATTGTATTTTATGAGTGGTTACGTGTTGGTCTGCATTCATAGCGTGTTCTTGTATCATAATATGTTCACAAGTCTTGCAGTCTCATGGTTTACGCACTACCGTCCCTGTCTTACCTGTAAATCAACGTGCTAGTTGTAGGATGGGCCAGCCCTTTTTTAAGCTATGACAAGGCTGCTATGAGCCTACCCGATACTCCGTATCTCATTAAAACCACGAAATTCTGGGTATTTATTTTTATTCAACCCGGATCTATTGGCTTTTATCCTCGAAAAAAGTTGAGGAGATTGTGTACTTAGATGTTTCTAATTAACTACAAGGCAGGTGATCCCCCAAAGGGTTTTGGGCCATTGACCTCGCCAAGACGGCAAAACCTCGGATATATCTTGTCTATTAGCCGGCCCTGAGGGGGTTGGGCCTCTGATGAGAAATACAATATGCGTGAGATGCGTTCATCATTAATATGAAGGGGTCATTTTAGGCTAAACTGGCCGAATCCTATTATTTCGTCAGCGGATGGCTTATGGCTTGAATAGCTTGTTCTGGAGGTTAATTGGGACTTCAGGTATCAAGTCTTTTCAGATATCACCGCTTTCTATGAAGAGGGCATTAATCCATATACTCAAGTGGTTGTTGAAGTTATTATAAGGCTAAAATGAAGTTCATGGAAGATAAACCCGGTTGAAGTCAACCCTGGTGTAGAGTTACCCATGCACCTTCACTCCCTTGACCCCCTTGCACCCCTAAACAACCAACGGAAACCAACGGATGACCTGATCGACAGGGATCGGTAAATGGAGAGAATCTCAGGCTAAATTGTTCACTTCAAGTATCTGCAACTGCCGAAGCCCCGCGTGAGATCCCCTGGGATTGGCCATGAAGTTTCCAAACTTGGTCCAAATGTGTGGGGGAATTTCTAACCCCGGACTATAAGTTGTTACCTCCATCGCAAAAATGTTGGAGTATCAGTTTACGAAGGCAGCCTTCTACAATGCCTATCACTTCACTACTTGCCTTGTTGGCGGCCTTCGCGCCAACTGTGTTGTCTCAGGACAACTCCAGTTATGTGGACTACAATACTGAGCCACAACCGAACCTTTACCCCGAAACGATGGCAGTAGTCGATTTCTCTTTCCCAGACTGCTTCAATGGTCCACTTAGCAAGACAATTGTCTGTGATACCACCGCAAAGCCACATGACAGAGCGGCTGCCCTCATTTCCATGTTCACCTTTGAAGAACTCGTGAATAGTACTGGAAACGTCATTCCCGCAATTCCCCGGCTGGGCCTTCCACCGTACCAGGTTTGGAGCGAAGCTCTACATGGTTTGGATCGAGCAAACCTCACCGAATCCGGGGACTACAGCTGGGCTACCTCGTTCCCATCCCCCATCCTCACCATGGCTGCCCTGAACCGCACCTTGATCAACCAGATCGGTCAAATTATATCAACTCAAGGGAGAGCATTCAACAATGGGGGTCGGTATGGACTCGATGTGTATGCGCCCAATATCAATTCCTTCCGCCACCCAGTGTGGGGCCGTGGGCAGGAAACTCCAGGCGAGGATGCCCAACTCTGCTCGGTTTACGGACTTGAGTACATAACAGGCATTCAGGGTGGCTTGGACCCCAAGGATCTGAAATTAGCTGCGACAGCAAAGCATTACGCTGGCTATGACCTCGAGAATTGGGACAACCATTCAAGACTAGGAAATGATATGAACATCAGCTCATATGACTTGGCTAGCTATTACACCCCTCAATTTGTCACGGCAGTGAGGGATGCAAGAGTCCACAGCGTGATGTCGTCGTATAACGCAGTCAATGGCGTTCCCTCATCGGCCAATTCTTTCTTGCTTCAAACTCTGCTTCGCGACACCTGGAACTTTGTCGAGGATGGCTATGTTTCTTCTGACTGCGACGCTATCTACAATGTATTCAACCCCCACGGATATGCCTCCAGTGTGTCACTCGCTGCGGCAAAAAGTATACAGGCAGGGACAGATATTGACTGTGGGGCGACATATCAACTCTATCTGAATGAGTCGGTCTCCCGGGGCGAGATCTCTCGCAGTGAAATTGAACGTTCTGTCACTCGTTTCTATTCAAATCTCGCCAGTTTGGGCTACTTTGATGGCAACAACAGCAAATACCGAGATCTTGATTGGTCCGATGTTGTAGCCACCGATGCATGGAACATTTCATACGAGGCTGCTGTAGAAGGAATTGTCCTTCTCAAGAATGATGGCACTCTACCGCTGTCCAAGAATACCCAAAGTGTTGCATTGATTGGACCATGGGCAAATGTGACAACTACATTACAGGGGAATTACTATGGTGCAGCCCCGTATCTTACCGGCCCCCTCGCTGCCCTACAGGCCTCCGACTTTGATGTCAACTACGCTTTTGGCACCAATATTTCCTCGGAGTCCACTTCTGGATTTGAATCTGCTCTATCGGTTGCGAGGAAGTCTGATGTGATCATCTTCGCCGGTGGAATTGACAACACGGTCGAGGCAGAGGGGGTGGATCGCGCAAACATCACCTGGCCTGGTAACCAGCTCCAGCTGATTGAGCAGCTGAGTGAGCTAGGCAAACCGTTAGTTGTTCTACAGATGGGTGGCGGCCAAGTGGACTCCTCATCGCTCAAGGACAACAAGAATGTCAACTCTCTGGTTTGGGGTGGCTACCCGGGGCAATCCGGGGGTCTTGCGATTCTGGACATTCTCACTGGAAAGCGTGCACCAGCTGGTCGTCTGACAGTTACTCAATACCCTGCTGAGTATGCTCTGCAATTCCCTGCCACGGACATGAGCTTGCGCCCCAAGGGCAACAACCCCGGGCAAACCTATATGTGGTATACAGGCAAACCAGTTTACGAATTTGGCCATGGGCTGTTCTACACAACATTCAAGGCATCACTCCCCGAATCCCACGGAACCGATAATGGGGCTTCCTTCGATATTGTAAAACTTCTCTCACGCTCAAATGCCGGATACAACGTGGTTGAACAAGTTCCGTTCATGAACTACACCGTCGAAGTTAAGAACACTGGTGATGTTACGTCTGACTATACCGCTATGGCCTTTGTCAACACAAAAGCTGGGCCGAGCCCGCATCCCATTAAGTGGCTGGTTGGCTTTGATCGCCTTGGTGGAATTGGGCCCCAAGCCACTCAGACCATGACAATTCCCATCTCACTGGACAATGTGGCTCGCACCGATGAGAATGGTAACCGCATTGTGTATCCCGGCAAGTATGAACTTGCGCTGAACAATGAACGTTCGGCCGTGCTTTCATTTACTTTAACTGGTGATGCGACCACTATTGCTACTTGGCCCAAGGAGGAGCAACTTGTTCTTCCTTCGTGAAAGGTGTCCTTTGTCGCTGTAACATGATATATAGTTAAATATATGTTCATGTTTTATTTTGGTGAATAGTAGCGATGAGAAAATGCTCGGTTAAGAAATGACCACATATATAGCCCTCTCAACAAGAGAAATAAAACAAAGGTAAAGATACCTAGCACCTGGTCATACTGGTGATCGACCTCGGGAGCCGGTGGCCCTGAGATAACCCGGCGCACGGAAGTTGCAGATCCCACATGATGGAATACAGCCGATTGGGATGTTAGGGTTTCTCAAGAGACAAAACAGCGAAACTGACTATATACATATATGTAATAGGACAGGGGGAAGTCTGGAACAAGTCCCTAATTTGGATGGCAAAAAAAAAAAAAAAAAAAACGAAAAACAAAAAGCGGGTAAAGCAATTATTGACTTCGCTGCTCTCGATCAATTAGCAATTCCTTTCAAAGCAAGTTTCTCTTGGGTGACTCTAGCTTGATTCAAGTAGGCTTCCTCAAGATCAAGTATGACTCCCAGTACTCGCTCACGACTTGCTAGACCATTGGAACTGAACCTAGCTCGATCCACAATAAGACACATCAAATTCAACCGCAATTGCCAACTCACTGGAGATCTTGCCTTCTTGAGTTTATCCAGTTCAATGAACAAGCGCTCGTCCAATCTTCCTCTCCAAAACCAATCAGGTAATTTCCACTCAAACACCAAAAGCATATTCCCTGTGTTCTTTATATCATCCAGGGTATACTTGATAGGACAGACCCACTCAGCAATCAGAACGGCAACTTCTAATGGAATGCTCCTGAAATGAGAAGGTAGATGGCGGCTTCTTGATTCTCGCAGACCTTCGATACCTGCGCAATTCATAGCTTTTTGAACTTCGGACACGACTAGTGGATTCTGATATATAGCGAAATCATGTTCAAACTCCGATAGGACCTGGCGAGGTTCAATGAATCGCACATCGTAATCTGCTAATTGCCACAACTTGTTGTTGCGCCAGTATTTCCGACAGACTTGGACGAGTTTTGCGAGTTTAGCTTCTTTTAGCTTCAGCCCTTCGACTCGACCGAAGAGCACCCAGCAATGGGCATGGACGAGATATCCAAGCAACTTCCCTTTATATTGACTGGGCTGTCTTCCAATGTTTGCAGCATAGAATTCAGTGAAACTAAGATTGTCGTATTGGTTAATTCTCCTCCTACCGACTGTTTGATTATCTGGACCTCTCCTTCCACCGATTCTTGCCATTGCTGGATCATTTGGGGTATAGTAGGGTAACCTGCATGATAGCACGCTATGTTGATGCCAGTCAGACGATACTTGGTATCGGACTACTTGATTACTGTGCTAGTTAGAGAATCTGGGAAGATTTGATCGAATGCCCCTTGTTGAGAACTTACTGACTCGACAAAAGCATGCCCATAGCCGAGGCAAATCGCTGAAGTATGCATCCTCTGTCTCGTGAGATGGCACCATCACATGGTCTAGGTTGGATTTCCAAATTCCTTTCCATTGACCATGTTTGAGTATCTGGTCATGTTCATATATGTTTGCAATCCCAGAATCATACGTGGCTGGGACTTCCATTCCACATAGGAGACATACTAGCGGTGGATCAACACCAGTAGTACTAGCATTGGGGTGTGGAAGTACCATGTTGACACTAGTGATGGGTGTGAAATAGAGAACGAGTTGAATGGCGAATTCATGTATAGTACAGGTCTTGCTGTACTCATAAAATGATGTCATGGTGAATATACACCTGTAGAAGGTTTCCCTCTTTTGATGGCCTTGAGATAAGTAGGAGGTAGGGATACTGGGGGTATCCATGGATTGGTATAGAGTATAATAGTCGGTTAGTGTCGCCTCTACTCGCTTTGGATTGCACATTTTCTTTGCTATTAATTCAGAAGGAAATAAAAGCAACATTAAATATCACCAAACATCAAAGTACCATCATTCTGCTCTATCTTCAAACGAGCTGTTATTCAACACAAGAAAGGTTTTAGACCTTGATGTTCTGCCCTTGGCTTCTGAGGAGCGAGGCAATATCCTGATGACCTCGCGCAATAGCTGCCCGAAGGGGTGTTTTGTAGGCACCAGCACGAATACTGCTGTCGGCGCCTCTATCAAGAAGCATTTGCACCATTTGACTATTTCCGAACGAGGCAGCTGTATGTAAGGCAGTACCATGTAGCCTTCCCCGCCCGTGAATGTCAGCGCCATTGTCGAGTAACATCTTTGCTATTTGAAATTGCCCATTTGCAACAGCACCAATCAGGGCTGTGCCGACCTCATGCTCCGCGTTTATGTTGGCACCGCTGTCGAGAAGCATTTTCACTATTTTCTGATTCCCGTTCATTGAAGCCGCTATCAGTGCGTTTCCGTGACGCCCTGCCCGTCGATTCACATCCGCATGATGGTTGAGCAAGATTCGTACGATGTCTTCCTGGCCTTGGAAGGCCGCGGATTGCAACGCGGTATCAACCTCATCCCCTTGAGAATTAGGCTCAGCGCCTTTCTCAAGCAAGAAGGTTACTAGTTCCCAGTGGCCTGCATTAGCGGCAGCTTCCAAGGGAGTACCACAGAGCTCGCTCTCGATATTGATTTTTGCTTTGCTATTGAGGAGAATCTCCGAAATTTTCAGCTGGCCCTCGTCACACGCTGCGACCAGGGCGCTTCCATGCCATCCACACGGGGCGTCAACATCGGCACCCCATTCAAGAAGAAGTCTGGTAATGGCCTCTCGGCCATACTGGGCAGCAGATGAAAGCGGGGTGTAGGCGTCCTGACTTGTTCCATTTGGATCAGCCCCATAAGAAAGAAGCAACTTGGTGATATTCAAATGACCCCCTGAGATGGCATGTCTCAATGCGGTCCAGCCACCATTATGGCAAATGTCGACGGGGTATCCCTGTTGAAGAAAGTAAGACACTGCTTCTTCAATTCCACGGTATGCAGCGAGATGCAGCCCGGCTCTTTGCCTCGGAAAATTCTGGCTCCAATCTTTTGGGGTTGAGTACCTCCTAACATGGATTACTTGTTCTGAAGCATCAACTTTTGGCTCATTTTTCAAAAAGTCAATCACACCAGGTTGTAAAGTTCCGGTCAGCTTTACATGGTGGCCCCAATTCCATACCGCATAAGGGTAGAATGGGTAGGATTGTAAACGCTCCTCGAACGCTTCATCGCTTTCACAGATCCCAGATCCAAATGTGTCAAATGAAATGTAAGTGACACATAACCTACTGATATCATTTTCGGCGCTGGGAAAGAGTAAATCTTTCTTCCGCTCGAGGTATTCTTGCGTCGTATAATGAACGAGTCGAATTATTCCACTTTCATTTTCAATGGTAACGAGCCCAGAGCACACAGCAAGGATATCTTCAACTTCTGGCATGTTCTCTTCATCAATGGTGGGTTCTCCTTCCTCTATTGCCAGAGCATGCTGGAGCTCCAATGAAGTGAGTGGCCTTCTTGCGCATGTGAGCCATGACAGAGTTTGCATCGCCAAGTCAGTCTGTTCTCCTATCTGCCCTTGAATACGTCTCATTGCGTTGTCATAGGCCCTGTCGTATGGATAGTCATCAAACCCCTTCGAGAGCTCTTTAAGAGCGATTCGAGTAGATTTGGCTGATCTTCTCCCAATCAATGAATCGAAATAAAGCTGTGCAAGAAGGAACCTGGGTGTAAATAAGCAATCTAGTTCTTAAGCCAAAGAATAAATTCCATCAAGTAGGCTCACATTCCCTGGACATGGTGGGAGATTACAGTCATAATCTCCTCTTGCAATGCAGTATTTCGACTCACAAATCCCGGGAGTCGGAACATATTACCATCAAGATATCGTCGAACGTCATCCTCATGAGCCCGTATCTCTAAAAAGTCGCCTGATTTAAACAAAGCATTTACCTCCATTGGCCTTGATGTGGCGAGGACATTTACGCCAGCACTAGCATGAATTTTCATGATCTCACTCAAAACCCTAACACGGCAAGTATGCTCACACTCATCGAGGGCATCGATGACAATGAACACACGGGAATACGAGGAGATAACGGTGTGAAGAGCTTTCGATATTTCATCGAATCGCGGACGCTTCGATGTAGTTTTGTAGCGCTTGTAGAGGTCTTTCACGGCGTCTGGGGTAGATTTCCTCTTCTGGCTCAATTGCTTCAACAGACTTAAAAGCAGGTCTTGGGCCTTCTGTTCATCTTGACGATTAAAGTTGCAATAAATGTAAGCTATGCCGACGTCTGGCTTATCCTCGAATCGCATAGTCAAATCATCGACAAGGATCGCAGAACATATGGTCTTCCCCGCACCCGGCATTCCTGGGCAAAGCAAGGTGGCTCGGGGTGTGCGAAGCCAATGCGTATACTGTCCCGAAGCGAGAAGCCATTGTCCAGTTCCTTCTTGCCGTCGAGCGAGGAGATCGCTCTGCTGTAATGTGTAATCAACGGCAGATAGCCAGTTGAGAATACAGGATTGTTCACTGCTTTCTTGTCGCTGATTGAGGTGTTCCAGTGTTTGTTTTGTCGCAGACATCGTTTGACTATAGGTGTTAGATCTTGGTCATACTCAGTAGCCAGGTGTACCCACGTCCCAAGCGGGGTAGAAGGGGGAGATATATGATACCTTGATATAGCACTCAAGAATGACTGGAGGAGTGTCACATTAGATAATAACCGATCTCGAAGCTCGCCTATGTCTTTTGGCTCCCAGGCGATCCTCTTCCAAACACTTCTAGCTTTCTTATGAATCGATGTACCGCTATATTCAACAACTTTATATTTCCCGATAGCATTTTGAAGCTCGTTCAACAGGGTCCCGCAGCTGTGACTGATTTCTTCTAGTTTTTTGCGTTGGCGATCATCAATATCGTAACCCGGTAGTTGAACATCGACGTCTTGAAGGATAATTGTCAGTCCTCTAACTCTATATGAATGAAAAGGATCAGTTCCTGGCCAATGACCTATGTAAAACATGCGCGCACTCTCTAGAAATACTGTTGAACTGGCTTGGAGCACCAACAAAGTCTCGTCGGAGCTTATTAGCCAAAGTAATAACAGAAACGAAGTCCCCGAGACTAAATCCGAAACTCATCGTGGATATTATTCGACTTCCGATGCAATATTTCCTGGAGGAATTATGTGAGAAGAGTTGGATTTCAAACATGTCAGACTTGCGATCGTTTTACAGCCCCAATTTCTGGACTACTTAGTTAGCGCCTTCTGGGTATGTACAAAGTACAGCTGTCTTGCGTTCAGTTGTTAGGATTGGTTGGTTATTAGATATCCGCTTCAAGATGATTCTTGCATTAGCGCGTGAGTTGTCTATGTACTTTCATTTATGTGGCGGATAGGTCTGTCTAGTGTGGAAGAGGTCGTCTAACAGAGAGTCCAATAGCAGCGAGTTGGTGCTCCATAGCGGGTGGCTGGTTGCGATGATACAGCAGCGCACAATTCTTGTTTTGACTATTTTTAGTTCCCCGCCGAAATGTTTTCAAATTTCTTTTTTTTTTTTCCTGAAGGAAAAGGGGACATGTGATAGCCGTAGTGATCGGTCGAATGCTTGCTTCTTGATCTGATGGAGGTTTTTTTGACTTGTGTAATTAAAATCGAGCAATATTGAAAATATCCTATACCGGGTCCATGTAATAGTAGCTGGAAACCTTATAGACGCAACAATATGCAGTGAAGACTGGGCAAATGTGCTGATATAGTATTGGAACATGTCCTGGTGATAGCAAGAAGAAAGTGAACGAGACCAAATCAGATTCATGCCCGCAAATTAAGGCAGAAATAAGGCATAATTCAGGCATTAATGATGACCTCGCGATGGAGTGATATCATTGGCCGTCCCCTTAGATCTCCGATAACGTCAGAGAACCCCCGCAGTCGCTGAGGCGCCTTTTTTTTTGCGCATGTTGTTTCCATGTTGACAGCAATTTGATCTATTTTCATGTCTCGCCAGGGACTATGAACCAGAGCTCGCCCAATGCTCAGCCCGTACCGGGTCCTTCTATCCCTGGCAACTCGTTTGCTCCGAGGGGACCTTTAGCTGGAGGTCGCCAGATCACCCGAAACCGCGCAAGCTACAGCTGTCACACGTGTCGGCGTCGGAAGGTCAAATGCGACAAGGTAGATTGATCTGATCGCCACCAACATCGAAGTTCCTGTTCCAAGCTAACACGTATATTTCCTTCTAGATACATCCGATATGTGGAAACTGCGTGAAAAACAACACCGAGTGTATATATGATGTGTCATCCCAAAAAGATGACGGTGGGCGCGATGGGTCTTCCCAAAATGCGCATGGCATCAAACGAAGGAGAGAGATGCCCCGGACATTAGAGCAGGATGTCGACGAGCTCCAGTCACTTTACGGGCAGTTGAGGCGGGCAGAGTCGACAGGCGAAAAGCCCGACCCAAGCGCCATTGAATCGCGACTCGACAAGCTTATGTCAATGATTGAGCGCCTGGGGGAGAGCGGTCAAACACTTGAGGACGTGGGAATGCAGGTAACGGCCTTAGATGCGAAAGTGGAACCCACACAGTTGGATGACCCACGAGAGAGCAAGGACCCGAACGGAAATAAACCACCGTCAAGACCTACCAGCCCACATCGCAATCCTGCAGAGTCAAGCAGTGATGAATTTCCGATTCCATCCGGTCAGGCCACCGATCTAGTAGACCCGGTTGGCAGTCTGAACTTGGGCCATCTGAGCCTGGAGGACGGTGGAAGGTCAAGGTTGGTCAGAATTGCTTCGTTCAAAATGGAAAAGGCTCTAACTATAACTAGATATGTTGGCACCACGTATTGGGCTTATATCTCGGGCGAAGTATGCTGTACACTGGACTTTTCTACTGGTAGATCATTTTGACTAACTCGCATCTAGATCAATGAGCTCAATCAATTGTTGAGAGACCAAAATAGCTCACATGATCAGTCTACTTCTGACAAGAATAATGAACACCCAACAGATTCGCATGCCGATGGCCGACAGTCCTGGAGAGAATCAATAGGTAGCTCGACACCTTCAACCGCACCCAGGTCTCGTTCCTTCCAGCAATCTGTAATCTTCCCTTCGGGTGACTCTCCCTCGATCAATGAAAAAATGGTGGAGCCAGAAATGCTCGATCATATTCCAACGAGACGGCAAAGCCATATTCTTTACAAAGGGTTCATTTCCGGTATACACGCCATCAGTCCTATCATTCACCCTCCAACTATCCTCAAGCTCTACAATTCCTTCTGGGATTGGTATGACTACAGCAGCTATTCAGGAGAGCCATGCCCCAGTCCGTCATTTATTCCATTGTTGTACGCGATATGGTATGGCGGCTCAGTGACGATTTCGATCCGAGCAATCAAGGCGGAATTCAATGTGTCCTCGCGGTCGGCCCTTTCAACAATTTATACCGAGGAAGTGACCAGATGGCTTACGAAGATCAAATTCCCACGCAGCCCTTCACTTCAAGGCCTCGCTGCTTATCTTCTCGTGCAGACAATTGTCACGAAAGAGGAAGAGCCTTTGACCACTAGTCTCTTTGTTAGCCTCGCTATGAGGGTTGCGCAAACCATGGGATTGCATCGCGATCCAGCTAAGTTTGGAATAGAGCCATGTGAAGCTGAGTATCGGCGCCGTTTATGGTGGCACATTATGCACATGGATGGTGTCGTTGCGATGTCGAGCGGTCTGCCTCCACTTGTCAACGATGAAAATTATTGGGATGTGTGCGAGACGAATGAAATAAAAGATACGATGCTAGGTACACCTGCTGCAGAGTCCTACATGAAACAGGTTGCTTCACGGGAGCGGCTGCCTGATAATCCAGATGATCCGACTGTTTGCGGCGGACCATCGATGGTCAACGTCTACTACCTGACCGCAAGAGGGAAATATACCATGGCTCGTGGGTACCCCTTTTCGTTTCAAAAGTCACCCACTAATTATTGCCAGGCGCTATCCGCCGAATATTGAAAATCCAGCTTGGAATAAAGCCTCTCACCAGGCAGGACATGGAGGAGCTCCGGTCCATACTTCTTGACTTGCAGCTAAAACTAAATTCCATCATCAACAGGATTCCAGAAGGCAAAGATGTTGATAACCTATCAACGCCAGGCCGAGCTTTTTCTATGTCCAAATCTCCCGATGGCCGCTCTTCGGACACAGAGCTTCCAGGCGAAGGTCCCACCGGATGCCCAGAACAGTATCACTCGCCGGTTCTGGTTTGCTTCCATAAGTGGGCGAGGATCATTCTTTCTTTGTATATTGACAAGGTATGCTTTTTCAACGTTTGCTGGTTCCATACCCAACTAACCTTCCTATAGGCCTTCTGTGTGGCCTACCAGCCTTTTCTAAAGAACGCTCGCAGCCGGATTTGGCCAGCGGCACGCCAGAGGTTAGCACACACCATCTGGAAATGAGTCTATATGCTAATATTGATAGCGCACTTCGTCATTGCCATGGTTTCATGGAAAAATTCATCCAACTCGCAACGGATTCTGATTTCCAGCCTTTTCATTGGAGCTGGCCTGGGTAAGCTTTCCCGCTAGGTAGTATGTTGACCAAGAATCGTAGGCAACTAATGTTTCTTTTTTTTTTATAGCAATCATCAACCAATGCATGCTACTATGTATGACTCCATCATCAGGCGTTAGTAACCATGCTAATGAGATACAGGATCATGCTTATTGACCTATATGAGCGACCTTACAGCCCTGAAGCATCCAGGTCCCGCGCGTTCATCGACAGCATACTCGCACTTTCTGGCCCGGATGGAGGTGTCGTCGGTGGTGAAGACGGTGTCTCAACCCAACGGCCATTAAAGGACGGTGGCCGTGAAGCCTGGGATATGATCCGCCGCCTTCGCCAGAAGGCCTGGCAAAAAGCTGGCCTCAATCCGCGAATGCTCTGGACCGAACAAGACCAGATCCAGGCTGGGGTCGCTTCGTCAGTTGACACTCCCGGTGATTCTGACTCTCCTTGCTCAGATCCCTCTCAGACCGGATCGCAAGTTTCAGCATCGCCAGACCACCCCTCAACACACAACCCCCAACCCAACGATTTCGTCAAAACATTTTACCACCTCACCCGCTCCCACACGTTCTCGAATCCTACCACCCCGGATACTACTAAAAGTCCCCGACAAGACCGATACCAATACCAACCACAGGATAAACCCTTTCCCCCAGTTTCACATTCCCAATTCCATCCTGCCCCCGCCGATAACTCCATACCTCCCCGCATTGGCGCCTCCTCGCCCAATACGGACTCCTTATTTGGTGAACCTCCACCGACACAACCTTCTACATCCACTCCCGCCCCACATGCTCAGCATTCAGATCCTGATATTACTGCTGCCGGTGGCATTTCCTTCGTGGACTCTACGTCTCCTAATGTTTTACCCTTGGGAATTCCTACACCCCCGTCAATGGTTGACCCCAACCTCAACTTCGACTGGGACCAGTGGGATGCTGTGTTCGGACAACATCTTCCTGTCGCAGATGATCTGATGGAATTGGACCCCGTTTCGGGTCTTGATTTTACCCATGCTGGAACCGCCTCAACGTTTAATGGCATTAGCCCTATCGACATGTCTACTTCATATGCCAATGGTCTTCCACCTCCACCCGCCTCCCCGGAAGGGAATTTCCCGTCATGGAATGGGAACAGTGGACCTGATTGGCCGGGATATTCTTAATACATTCACCTGGGCAGTGTATATGCAGTCATATGATTATGAGCGATATATCCGTCAAATCCGCAAATATATACATGAGCATAATGATTGGTGGCGCTTTGGTCATTTTAGGGGGTTGACATGGGGGCGAGAAGTGTCGTAATACCACCCCAACATGTCGAGACTTTTACTGGATCAATAAAACTGAAGACAGACTACATAGCAGGAACCAAAAAAAATATAACATGACAGATGATTTCATGAAGCGTAACTCTTGATGATCCAATGGATCACTAACTCGGGATACGAAAAATGCGAGAGGGTTATTAGAACAGACAGGCCCGGGAAAGGGGAATAAGTAGCCGCTGCGTCTGAGCTGTAACTCGCAATTCTTCCAAGACGTATTTGTTCGTATAGGGTGCGTGTATTTTTACTATCGCCTGATCTGGGATGACAAGAGTTGCTTAGACCTTGATCTCCTTGAGACCGTCAGCCCAGACGGTAGCGTAGGGGGTAACACCATCCTCGCGGAAGTCAATCAGGACGTGCCTAGAAACAGTCAGTTTGAGAATTCAGGGGTCAAGTCATGTGGGGACATACATGGCATCACCGTCCATGGACTGGCCCATGAGGACATCGTAGTTGTCCCAGTTGGCAAGGATCTTCTTCATAGCACCAGCGGCCTTGGTCTTCCACTCCTTCTCAGCCTCTGCGGGATCCGCGGCCTGAGCGAACTTGGTGGCGGCGTTCTTGTGGAGCTTCTTGAGGTAAGCTGTATTAAAAAAAAAAAAAGCAAGTCAGTGATACTGCGCAAACCAAGCAGAGATCAAAGGGCAAGCATACACTTGATGTGGGTCTTGTAGCTCTCCTTGGAGGGCTTGGCACCATCCTCAACCTTGAGCCAGACCAGACGGAACTGGTCCTCGATATCGTGGACCATGGTGGCCTCACCCTCGCCACCCTCCTCCTCGGCGTCCTCAGCGGAGGGGTTGGCACCCTCGAGCTGGAAGTCCTCGTTGGCACGCTTCAGGTACTTGCGGCAGTCACACTCCCAAAGGATATCGAAATCCTTGTTGGGGACAAGGTTGAAGGTATCGGCGACGATCTCGTCACCGGAAACGATGTCCTAGTGGGTTTTGTCAGTTGAGATTCTGCAAAACGAAGAGGGGTAAACCCAAGGATCTGATATTGACAAACATACAGTGTAGATAATCATTTTGGCGGAATTATGTGTGAAGAAGACGAAGGGTGTAAGAAAGTAAGGTGGCACGGGAAGGGAAGAAAAACACTTTGAAGGTGGGGGGACGAGGTTTTTCTTAAAAAAAAAAAAAAAATAGAGCGGGGGACTTGTGTTTGTTCAGTTTGTACCCGACGGGTATCGGGGAGTCTGGGCTACCGCCACTGGCTCTGTGTTAGCGCAGTATTTGGTACTTCAAGGTACTTCCTAGGTAAAATGTCAATTTTGAGGGGTGAAAATGGCATATATAAAGACCAACTGAAGTGGAATATGTTCAATTATGTCAATAGAAGCAGATTAAAATAATCGATTAAGATCAATTGATGTTTGCTTTCCCTGCTGCAACCAATTCACATCCTTTCAGGGCTATCCAGGTCGAAGTATATACCTTAGTCAGCATCAATATATGACATACCGTACCATACCGTATCTCTCAGTATCATCACCCATCACATCCAAATATACCGTTATTACATGTATTATCATGCTTTCGTCTTGGCTTCGGGCTCGCGCCACCCGAATCCGGGCGTCTCCTGATCTGAACGTTTATCTTTTATCTTCGAGCATTCCTACGTTCCTATTCTTTCCTTCATCATTATCGGATTCTCTTTTCTTTTTTTCTTCTTTACATACTTCCTTTTGTATGTACCGGCCTGCGCCGAGAGGTCTCTGACTGATCGGAATCATTCTGCGTCGCGCCTACCCGTCATCATCCGGACTTAGGCGTGGTGGGCAGTAGCGAACATCCACTCTCTTTTCTTTACCTGATTTTTCTCACCTTGGGGCCATTTCAATATCCAAGATATTGATTCTAAGATCCCTTCGATCGACGTTCCTGGATCCTTTGTGCTACTAACTCAACACATCGCCATTCTTCCGTCATGGCTCTGAACGCATCCGTCGCGTTCGACCTTCCTCCCCTACCAACCTACACCTTGACTGCGCGAGAGCATTTACTTGCTCCTCTTCCTGATAATATCCTTTCGCTCATATTGCCCGTCGTCGCTTATTGGGGCCTGTCCATGATCTATCATTTCCTCGATGTCAATGATTACTTCGTCGAATACCGGCTCCACACCCCCGCAGAAGTCCTAAAAAGAAACAAAGTGACCCGCTGGGAAGTGGTACGGGATGTTGTCTTACAACAAGTGATTCAAACCGTGGCCGGTTTTGCGTTCGTATACTTTGATGCCGAGGAAACTGTTGGAAGAGAGGAATATGATGTGGCCGTGTGGGCGCAGCGATTGCGAATCGCCCAAAAGGCCGTTCCATCATTATTAGCTCTTGTTGGAGTCGACGCTATCAGTCTTGGAAAGTCCGTATCCCAAAACGGTTATACCATGTTGGCCGGAGCTCTAGCTGGTGGATCATACCCCGGTGTGACCCAGTCCATAATCCTCGACAACGGAGCCAAGGCCGTAGCGCCCGCGTTCGCGAGCTGGGAACTTGCAGTTGCCGGTTTCATATATTGGTACTTTGTACCGACCCTCCAGTTCATCCTGGCGATTTCCATTGTGGATACTTGGCAGTACTTCCTCCACCGCGCTATGCATCTGAACCGGTGGCTCTATGGTATGTCTGACGTTTCGAAGTTGATTGATGGTTCCATGCTTACCAACTATTAGTGACTTTCCACTCCCGCCACCACCGTCTTTACGTTCCATATGCTTTCGGTGCCCTCTACAACCACCCAGTCGAGGGATTCCTCCTGGATACGGCTGGCACTGGTGTTGGATTCTTGGTCTCCGGCATGAGCACCCGCCAGGCCATGTGGTTCTTTACAATGTCGACTATTAAAACTGTCGACGATCACTGTGGCTATGCCTTCCCCTGGGACCCACTCCAGCATTTTACATCCAACAACGCCGCCTACCACGACATTCATCACCAAAGCTGGGGTATCAAGACCAACTTCTCCCAACCTTTCTTTATCTTCTGGGACCGCCTTCTTGGCACTCAGTGGACTGGTGAGGTCAAGCTGCGCTACGAGCGAGCCCGCGAGAATGCCCAGAAGCAGGTGGATCTGGATGCTGCCCAGGCGCCTAGCACAATTCCGGCTGTGACTGTGACCGAGGAACGCGAACATGAGCGGGTAGTGGTCTCACCCGAGGGACCTGCAACCCGCACTCGGCTGCGCCGAAAGACTGTTGATAGTCTCAAGGGCCCGAGTCATGGGGTTCCCGGAAGTGTTCTCCACAACTAAAGCCGTGATGAAATGAAGTCCGAGCATGTGTTGATTTTTTTATGCATCCCCCAACCCCGTCCCTGGAGCTGCTGGCCGTCTCCGCCAGACCGTGGGGCTCTCCGTCATTTCTTGTATATGGGATCAATGGCCCAATGTATTAATACTTCAGAACGCGCCAGTCAATACTTTGTACATGGTTCGCTCTATGACCTACTGTTAATAATGTCTATTATTTGCCATTTACATTCACTTCTGGGTATTCGGTACTCGATACATTTGCAAATATCATGAACTATTCTCAAAAACCTTGGGCGTACAACAAAAAAAAGAGACAAAAACAAAATGACCTTCAAAAAGCGCCAATTCCAAAGGACATGTCAAGGAAATGACAATCAAAGTACACAAGAACCAAAGCGCCCAGACGAGATGCAAAGAAAAAACAAATGACAGTGACTAGGAGAGATCAAATCATATTCGACTGTTCACACACCAGGTTCCAAGTAGTCATCGCTGCTGCGCTATTTTCCGGCTTTCCCCGGTCTTCATCTTCATAACTCCACTCACCGTCAGTGGAACAGATCGACGGGGAGCGACAGCGTAATGGGGCGCTGCTACTCCCTTGCATTGGGCAGTAATCCGTGCTTCTCGAGTCAGGATCTATTCCCGTCCCCTTGTACATCTCCAGCAATTCGTCGATTTCCTCCATAGTTCCAGCGAAAGTGCTTGCAGCGCCAGGTGACGAGGGGTTCTTTGCGGGTCCATAGGCGGTGCTTGCACTCCGCATTTCCATGCTTATTCCTAAGCCTTGATAGTTGTCATCGGCGAAATCCATGAATCTAGTGGTGCGATCCGAGTTCGGGTCTGAGCGTCGGTCTCGCTTTACGTGGGACGATGATCTCGAAGCCTTCTGGGAGGGGCTCGATGTCGGATGATACATTCTGTGCCCTTTAGTGTCAGTGTCAGTACATTGGGATAACGAGGAGGATTTGGAGACATACCTTTCTGCGGAGTGGGATAATGTGATTGGAGGTGGCTGCTGGGGATACTTCTTCCTTGGGTTATACTCACTAGCCGGTTCTTGGCTACGTGCACTCTTGCCACTCTTTTCGTTTTTGTCACCCTTATCCGTCTTTCCAATCTTGTTATGATCGGTGTGCCTTCGTTGTGGGGGTCTTAGATCCGCATGTGCTGGGTCTTTAAACCAAGCCTTGCTACAGGCTTTGCGGGTATCCTTCAGGATGAATGCAAACTGGCTAGATGTGCCATACAACTCATCCACGTCATTAGGGAACAGGTCAATACAAGTGTCGACGAACTTCATAAGTCTTCGTGGGGCATGGTTCAAACGAGTCTGCGTGCGAGAGAGCAGGGCGATTCGAAGATTGCGCAATGCATGCTTGTCACTCGCAACCCGAGCAACCATACATCCCTGACAGCCGCTGGTCTCATAGTGCCAAGCTTCTGAGATAGTCTGGTCTTTCAGGTCAGGTTTCTCCCACATGCCCTGGATAGCCTGTAGCTTCTGCAGGATCAATATATCGAGAGGCTTGAGCAAGTCCGGGTAGGCGTCGAACTTGCGAAGGTGGTGACCGACCTCTCTATGGATAAGAGTGAACACATCGTCCATGAGATATGCGTCCAAACCCTGATGGGCATCACATAAATCCTTGTTGGTCCTTGACCAGCGATCACGGCGCATATTCTTTGGCAACTCGTGAATCATACGCTTGACGACCTCATCAGTGTGTTTCGCCTTTGTGATATCTATGTGCAGGATCTCTGTTAGCTTTTTCAGTTCATCCCTTCTCAGGTCCGTGACAAACCGGGTGTCTCTTTGTCCTGAGAAAAGGGATCTATGTCTACCGACTGCGTCTCGTCTATTTTCGAACCACCCTCCATCTTTTCCCATTGCTTTCGGTTATCGTGGATTTAGCGGAGGATTGGATGGAGGTGGCTACGTGGTAGACTTTGGAAGAGATATGCTTGTCCTAAAAGAAACAAATACCAGGTTAGAAGGTCAGTTTCAAGCTATGCCTGCTGGGAATGGGATATAGTCACTAAATTGTCTTCGTTCACTCAAGTAACAAATTTTATGCACCGCCGCTTTACTGCGTCTGGGGTTGGTATTGATATTCCGTTGGAGAGAAGAATTCCGTCTTGAGAAGAATATTTATATACTCCGATTGAAGTGGGGTGTTCTCGGTGTGCTTTCATACTGTGAAGACCACTGAACAATGTCTTTTCAGTTCTCAAAGAGAACAAACGCCTTATTATCTATTGGCGTTTATTTCCGTGACTGTCAAAGGGAGTGATCCTATTGATCGATTTACGGCGAATACAATGAATTGTGCTATTAATGAACTTCAATGGTCTTTGTTTTTTTTTTTTTTTTTCTGTCTCATTCAATATATTAGGCTTGCTCTGTCTCATCATCCCATCCTCTTAGTCTCATTTCTTTCTTCCTTTCCTCTCTGATCAATCTCCATCTATCCCAGACATTCGACCATGGGGAATCAAGCCTCGGCCATGGACTCCTCTCGGGTCACAAAGAAAGCAAAGAAGCGCACCATGCTTAGAGGAATGTTTAATTATCCAAACGGACGAAACATACCCGAGGAATACAATCCGACCAGAGCAAACCATTGGGTGACTGTCTTCTTTAACTGGGCCGACCACAAATATAATGATGAAGACTTGATGGATCTTGTTATGGCTCGCATCAACTCCCGCGACGGTATCATTTCATCCGAACCGGTCCATCACGATGTTAAATGGTGCCTATCCCTACGTATCCCAGGATACTGGAATCCTACCGATGCTTCGATTGCCGCCGCCGCCAAGGTCGTTGCGCAATGGAATCAGAGTGAAATGCGCCATGCCAGTATGAAGATCAACCGAAAATATCTTTTCCGTGGTAATAATCACAGGCGTCGAAAGAAGCGTCAATTTTTTCGTTGAGATTCTCCGTTCTTGTTCTACCACTGTCTTGATCTATATGTAATATTTCTTTTGACTTTTAGCAGAACATTCCCATCCCTCACGATACTTGCAAAGTCGTTGATACTTGCAAACTTGTCATCTCAGGGCTTGTCAGCCCAGTTGCCTTCCCTTGATGACAAGAAACATGTTTCATTCCACAATGAAGGAATCAATGAAAGAATGTGAACAATAATATTATTTTAATTCATGAATGTGCATACAAAAAAAAGTGATCATCCTTGTAAATCAGCGGATGTAAAAGTCACAAGTCATAGAATCTCAGACAGCAGGTGCCATCGGTATCACATGACAAGACCAGGCTTCATCTTTTGTTTTTTTCATTTCTCATCTTTCATCTCTCGACGTTACGCACTTCCCCCTGTACGTTTCACAATGACTTGTCCGGGGAAGGAGGGTACTCCGTTGCCCTACACTGCCTCACCCATCAAGTTACTCTGGAGTGACTTATCCCTGTTTGTTTCCAAGCTATGGGCGCTTCCAGGTATCTTACTGCCCCTAAATTTAGCTCGTACCCGTGAGTTAGATGAGCTCTATCCATCGTTACGCAATGGGGCTACGCTGTTGATTCATATATTCCTCATGGCTTATCAACTTGTTTTCCTGCTCTCGTTGCCGATCATGGTTATCTGTATGCTCCCAGGCCTGTGGATCTTGGCTTATTCAACTATTGCTTTCACTATCAATTATGCGATTGTTATGTTGATGTTGAACGGCTTCGATCGGATTCTGGTATCCCAAGTGCCCGTGGTTGAGCAACCAGGTCATGAGCGGGAGCGTTGGCTATACATAAATGGAATAGCAGCTGGGTAGGAGAAATATCTCCTCAGTAGCTTGTTTTCAATTACTGACTCAAATTACCTCTAGGCATCATTGGGTACAGATGAACATAGATCAACTGTCATATATCTTTGGTCGAAAGGTGACAGGTGTGCATAATCGCACGTAAGTGGCGTCTTGGATCTCAGGGTAGCAAACTCTAATGATAATTAGCGCGGGCATTATTTTTGATCTCATAGAATGTCTGATTCAACGGGATTTCGCTTACGCAACGGACGATATACGACGATCATATGCCTTGGTCAAGGAAGCTCTCTTAGACCCAGAATGTGACAAAGTGGTTCTGCTTCTTCACAGCCAAGGCGGCATCGAAGGGGGACTTGTCTTGGACTGGCTTCTGGATGAGCTACCGCACGACCTTCTTCATCATTTGGAGGTATATACCTTCGGAAATGCTGCGAATCACTTTAACAACCCGCGATGGACAAAACTACCAAGGCCGCAACGGATCCCAACCCCTGATCTAGTGCATCAATTTGACCAATCCATCGGCCATATCGAGCATTATGCCAATGCGGGTGATATCGTGGCGCTGGGAGGGGTGCTCCACTTCGTGGACATCCCAAATCGATACATGGGCCGGCTGTTCGTGCGCCCGAATTCAGGCCACCTATTTAACATGCATTACCTGAGCAATATGTTTACCCTAGGCCCTGATATGAAGGTTCTTGACTCCAATCCATTTATGGATATGGAAGTCGAACCATGGGCAACCGCCGGTATAAATGGATATGATGGCCCTCCGCACCGAGCCAGGTATCAACCCACTATAGCTCGAGACGAAGCATTTCTCCCTGCCGCATTGAGCCTGCAACGGTCACAAACGAATGGCGTGGATCGAATACTGCGTGTCAAGGACTTCAGCCGCCTTTGGCAGTATAGAAATGGAGGATTCCCGAAAGAGATAGAAGCACAGCATAATGGTGACACGCACGAACATGTATATTTTTAGTATAAATTGACCCCTTGCAGGATATATGACATGTCTTTCTTTGTTCTCTTCTAAATGAGTCCCGCTAAATCCAAACCTACACACTCAAATCTGAACTACCAAAGTAATAGCATGTGAAGCCCTTTTGACAGACTGTAGGCTGGATCCCCCCATGCGATGTACTTCGGAGACTTATCAAACACGCGTCTATATATATTCACAAAGCACGGTCCACGTCCCCTTGGTTAATCCGGAGTTTGGACGCCTGGATGTCCGAGATTCCAACTTAGGTTCTTCGGCACTATTGACAGCACCTAGTTTGAGGGCACACCTACATGTTCGGAGTCGGGTGAATTAGTTTGTTCTAAGTCAATTGCATTAAACATTTCCTCCCTGTGTGACCCTTATTATCATGTATTATTTTGACAAGAATCGACTTATGACGGATTTTTCATTCTACTATAATATAAGGTCTCGCTGTTTTTGCAGGATCCAATGGAATGTTAACCTGTTAAATCTTTTACTTTGCCCCCAAATCACAGTACAAATCTTGTCTTTGTAGGTTTATCATGGAAGACAACGTAAATCTATACAAATATAGCGTGGCCATATTGCTACTCGTATGGCTACCCCGACAACGGAGTAGAAACGTCTCACTAACCGAAGTTGATATATCATGCAGATAATCGGTGACCCACTGTGGACTGTCATCTACAGTCTACTTTTCCATCCACTGCGAGAGAATCCCGGACTGAAAATCTTTGCGGCATCTACTTTCACCGTCTACTACTATCAAGTCCGTGGTCTCGGGGCCAAAGTAGTTCCGGCACTTCATGAAAAGTACGATCCTATCGTTCGAGTCTCACCCAACAAACCGAGTTACATCGAGAGTTAATCATGGAAAGTATTTTTGGGCATCGGACCGGAGGCAAACCAGATATCTGGAGTTTGGCTGTCAAAAATGCCGGCAAGGATGTTTCCAAAGGTGAGATGTATTCAAATGCGAGCACATTCATGATTGCGGGAACCGAAACGACAGCGACTGTTTTAGGTGGTTTGACTTGGCTGCTTTGAAAGAACCCTGAAACGTTGCAGAAGCTCAAGGATGAGATTCATGGCCTTGGGGGTAGAGAAAGTCTCACTATTACCAAATTGCAGCGATCGATATACCTGAACGCCTGTCTCGAGGAGGGTCTCAGAATGTATCCACCTGTTTTGGTTGCAAGTATGAGATTAGTTCCTAAAGGTGGTGCAATTGTATGTGATAAAATGGTTCCTGAAGGTGTAAGTTTCCGGTGTTTCGCCAGATATACCAATACATACATATGTATTGACCCTTTCCCCCTATATCCAGGTCACAGTTGGCATTCCCCATCTTGCAGCTTATCATTCAACAGGGAATTTCATTGACCCTATGAAATTCCTACCTGAACGTTGGCTTCCCGATGCCGAGCGATTCAAGGATGACCAGAAATCGGTATTCCAGCCATTCTCTTTCGGTCCTAGAAATTGTCTAGGCAAGTGAGTTCCCGGTTCCTATAGACTTGGATTACTTTCTGATATATCTCCAAGCCTTGCATACCACGAGATGCGTTCTGTCATTTCATCTATTCTCCTCGAATTTGATATCAGTCTTGTTGACAATGCAGATAATTGGTTGGATCAAAAGAACTATAAGCTGTGGGAGAAGAAGCCGCTCTTTGTGCGTTTGACACCTGCGAGTTGAGTTATGCAAGGGGATACATTGATACATATGAGGCATAGATGATGACTCTAGTATTTCATGGTGGTCTGCATAGCCCTAATCAATTTTGGCCCGACGGGATACTGCATGACTCAGCTTCTCTGTTTCTCCTTCGAATTATACAGTCGAGCATTTTCATAACATACACGCACATGTTCGTGGCGTTTACATTCCGAGCCCATATTCCATCTAAGTTCGATAGAATATAGGATGTATACAACTACCAGGTAGATGTTGGACACGATTGGAGGATGTACAATGAGATCAATTCAGATGCAGGTCTGTGGTATCAAGGAAGTATCCTCTCTCGAGTGCATCAAACATTAGGGAGAAAAAAGCAACGCCCATCGCCATACAATGCAAGTGGAACACGGAATAAAGGCCAAAGGACATGCTAGATCATGCCCTGATTACCTTTCTCTTTTCCTTCTTTTTCTTTTCACCTGCCCCTGAGGGCTCACCACCCATTCCACCCATTCCGCCTAATCCACCGAGTCCACCCAACATATTGCTCAATCCGCCCATTCCGCCCATTTGACTCATCATTTCAGACATGTTAGGCATTCCCTCCATACCCTGCATACCCTGCATCTCGGCCATTGCGTCCTTGAGGGGGTTGTCACTGACACCACCGCCGCTGTAGGCAGGCGAATGGATAGGTAAGATCTTCCCGATCTTCCAACCCCGTGGGGCAGCGGGAGCTGGTGGAAGCTTCTCAGGCATAGGCAGACCACGGATTCGTAGCCGGTAGGGTGATTTTTCGGTAGTAGGATTAGCCTTCAAGAACTGTGCGACGAGGATATAGAGGTGGTGCTCTAAGTAACAATGTCAGTCCCAGTCCAATAGAAAAAAAATCATTCACTCCATTAAAGGTATCAGCCACGTACTGTTCTTTATCTTCGGGTTGGCCAATTGACCATCCTCGTTCTTAACCTGCACACGCACACGACCAGGGTTCGCCCAATCCTTGGGATGTAGCTTCTCAGGCTCCAAGCCCGCATTCAAACCAAGCATCTGGACGGCATCAAGGATATCTCGCGCAAGAGGGTTCTCCACTGCGAGCTCCGCGCCCACTTTGCGGCCTTCGGCGCGCGATCGGGTCTTGTCGAAGTACACGGGGTACAGGCATGAGAAGTGTCGGGGAATCTCGCGCTGGGGCTCAGGCACCGGAATCGATGGCATGGGCATCTGTTGTTGTTGTTGGGGTTGAGGTGCAGCCCTGGTTGGGATATTTACGGGGGAGATGATGGCATTGCTGGGGAGGTCCTCGTCGGAGTCGTAAGAGGGGGCAATCTCTTCTGGGTCGGAGTCGGAGACTTCCTCGATTTGGGCGTGATGCGACATTGTGGAGGGTTGAATTTGTGGAATGGGGGAGTTGTCTGGGGAAGGCCGCGGGAATTGTGGCCAAGTCAGAGGGGCAGAATGCAGAGTGTGCGGGCGGTGGGACGTGGGGATGTTCAACGTACCTAGTTACACGTCAATTATTGTTAGTATAGTACACTTATGTCTATAATTTGAAATAATAATTCTTGGATCTGATATTCAATCCATTGCTTCAATCTGTATGAAAAATAGGAGCCTCATGCTCTTTGTAATGTCTTATTTAGGAACCTAAGCTGGACTAAAGCCAGGTGTATTCTTGTAACACGCAGCAATGTATAATGATATCTTTCCCAGATATATTCCTAAGCTATGAGTCAACACCAATCTGAAACCTTCACCCCGAACAAGATAGACCAGATGGACCAGATAGACCCGATAGGAAATTGAATCGGCCACAAGTCCGTCTCCCCGCCCCCGGACCAATTAAGGGCTCGGCTTCTTCCTTTCGGCATGCCGAACCCACTTAGCCCCGCAGGGCCATTGCCTCGGGTGAAACGTCGAGGAGATATCCACGCCTATATATAAGGCTTTTCGTCTGTTTAAGCCTTCTTTCTTGCAATTAAATTTCTATAGACTTCAATCATGACCAACGGTATGTCCAATGCATGCAATATCTTGGCATATTCATCATCCTGATATACTTCCCAGAAACCATGACAAGTGCTATTCTCCACCGGGACACACGCTTTGTCCCAAAGAAAGCCATTGGTGGCAAGGGGTGCTACATCTTTCTGGAAGATGGGACCAAATTCCTTGATGCAACGGGAGGCGCAGCTGTATGTTGTCTAGGACACGGTAACGAGCAGGTCACTCGGATCATCAAGGATCAGATGGACCAGATATCCTACTGTCATTCTGCCTTCTTCGGCACTCAGGTAGCCGAGGACCTTGCCAAGCTCCTGGTGGACTCTACTGGAGGAAAGCTTTCCAAGGTCTTTATAACCAGCTCGGGTGAGTCAAGGCAGCCCTTCCAAGAACCGAAAATCCAGTTCACGCATACAGTGCTAATGCTATGCAGGGTCGGAGGCTATCGAGGCTGCGCTTAAGCTAGCACGCCAATATTTCCTGGAGCTTCCCACTCCTCAAACTGAGCGTACCAGGTTCATTGCACGTCTTCCATCCTACCACGGCACCACGCTCGGGACCCTTTCAGTTGGTGGCCATGTTCAGCGTCGGGAGCCATTTGAACCACTTCTCTCCAAGAATGTATCACATGTTTCCCCATGCTATGCATACCGTGGGAAGCTGGACGGCGAGTCTGATGCAGACTATGTGGCACGTCTAGCAGCCGAGCTAGACGCTGAATTCCAACGTGTCGGACCCGAAACCGTGTGCGCATTCGTTGCAGAGCCGGTTGTTGGCGCGGTATGACTTCCCATCTTCTATACTACCAGGTCACACAACTTATACTCGTTAGGCTCTCGGCTGTGTTCCCGCAGTACCAGGGTACTTCCGTGCAATGAAAGCCGTTTGCGAGAAGTACGGTGCTCTCTTGATCCTTGACGAAATTATGAGCGGTATGGGCCGTTGCGGAACCTTGCATGTCTGGGAGCAAGAGGGTATTGTTCCTGATATCCAGGCCATTGCAAAGGGTCTGGGTGGCGGCTATGCCCCTGTGTCAGCCATCTTGATTAATGACTCTATTGTACAAACGATGGACAAAGGCACCGGGCAGTTCCGTCACGGACAAACCTACCAAGGTCACCCAATCTCATGTGCTGCTGCATTTGCTGTGCAAAAGACTATTCAAGAACAGTCCCTGGTGGACAACGTCCGGACCATGGGTGCTTACCTTGAAGCACAGTTGAAACAGCGATTCGAGAGTCATCCTTATGTGGGAGATATTCGTGGGAAAGGATTGTTCTGGGGTGTAAGTTGCATGTCCCTGTCGTCGATATTGCACGACCAAAAAAAGAAAAATGTGTTGCTAATTTTTTCCAGCTTGAATTTGTCAAAGACAAGGCCACGAAAGAGCCATTTGACCCCAAGGATCGTGTATCATACCGGCTCCAGGAGAAGGGTCTAGAGTCGGAGCATAGCGTCTCACTGTATGGCTGCTCTGGTACCGTGGATGGAATTAAAGGAGATCATCTTATACTCGCACCACCTTACATCGTGTCGAAAGAGGAGATTGATATTATTGTCAACACCCTGGACAAAGTTATGAAGGAGGTTTTTGCTTCGCTATAGAGCGCACTTGACATTGATTTCAAAGTCCACTTTAATAGCCTTGGAACATGCAATCATCTAATCAATTCCATTTTTTTACAAAACAACTACCAGAAGAATCATTAAATAGCGAAGCAGATGTAGAAAAGTCAAGGCAAATCATGTGAATACTGGGATATTTCATTATTTTACAAGTACATGAGAGAGATCAAGCATGAGCCTCAACGGCAGACGCTTTCTTCCTATCAGCCAGTTCAATCCCCTTTGGCCCGTTGGCGGAGCCATTAAGCGCCGCGTCCTGATGAATGGAGCTCTCCGCCCATAGTCCAGCGACAGTCTCAATGGCCCGCTCGACGACTACGCGAATGCGGTCTCGTAGAACAGGGTTTGCACACTCGACTTCCAGGTCCTCGAGCCACACACGGGCGATATGCTTGTCCACCCTGATTTCAATACCAGGGACAGGAACACCCATTGTGATAAGACGATCCAGCTCTGCAGCCTCAATATCGGCAATGCGTTCTTCGTTCATCTCTTCGCCATCTTCTTGTGGACCGAGTGCGAGATCAGCCGGAACTCGAGGGCGCTCAATGGGGCCGATGTTGTCACCGCCGAATTGTGCCTCGAGCATCATCAACATACGAGCAAGTCGCTCTTGGGGTCCGGATTGAGAATGAGGGTTTGGAAGCGAGGGGATTTCCGTGTCGTCACCATCATCGCCATGGTGATGGTGGTGATGCTTGTTTTTGGCCGATTCTAAAACGGTAGTAGTTAGCATAAGTAAGAGGTGAAAAATGATAGGAATTCGTACGCTTTACGGAGGCTGGGCTGCTTTCGACTGTAAGCAGAACAGCCATAACTGCATCTGCCACTCCGTCGTTCATCATGTTACCTTCCCATTCCAACTCAACTTCGCGAGTGCGTGAGTGATGGCGAAGATACACACATCCCATTACAAGGAATGTCTGTGTCTCGTCGGGTGGAATCTCCTCGTCGGCATCCTCTTGCTTTGGGGTGTCGTCAGTACCCATGTCTTTCTTCCCATTGGGCTCAGTCTTCTTGCTGTTCCCAACTTCTTCAATGGCCCCGAAAGTTCCCTCGAGGGCCCATCGGATCAAATCCATACTTGCGGAGCTGAGAGTGATATGCTGCTTGCAAGTAATAGTCGTAGTTGTCAAGCCTGCATACTCCTGTAAATCGTCAGGGGCCATTAACGATAAGTTGAACCCATTTTGAACTAGGACTCCAGCCATAAGCTGGGCATCATCATTCTCCGATGGAGGGGCAAGCTCTGCGAGCTTGCCGACGACCTTGGCAATCTTGTCCTTTTTGAAAGGAATACGAACTTCGTCGCAGTTTGCTGGGGTGTACACTTTGACTTTGACGGCCTTATCTGCGTTAAGGCTGAGCAGTTTCGACTTCAGCCTCAT